TTTAAATCAAAACTTGGCGAGAGCTGTGAAGGAGAATGATAGAGTATACCTCATGAGAGTTCCACAAGCCAGTTCTCTGGCTCCTCTTCCAGCGTTTTCATTGGTCAAGCCTATGCCAATGAATGATGTCCTGGATGCAAGCAAGGAGAAGATGTTTGCCAGTCTTGTTCCTGATAACAGCGCTAAAGCTCTTTCCAGGTACACCGAAATGGTTGATGATGTCATTAGGTCTCAAGCTGAGAGATTGCAACAGGGAAGTGAGCTAGCTCGAGTTAAGCTCAGGGAAATGGACTTGCCTGATTCTATTCTTGCTTTGGAGGGAAACTTAACTCTGCCCATGGCCTTAAAAGAAGATGTAGAGGCAGTTCAAGTTTGTGGTGGTCCAGCTGGTTTAGAAGCTGAGCTGCAGCAGCTCAAAGATCTGAAGAGGGTGAACCAGGAATTACTGGTCCAAACTGAGGAGCTTTTACAAAAAGAAGCAACAGAAGATTCTCAATTTAGAAGTCAATTTGGAACACGATGGACAAGGCCTCAATCTAGTACTCTAACAAAGAACCTACAGGACAGATTGAACAGGTTTGCAGCTAACTTGAAGCAAGCTGCAGAGAGTGATGCCAGGATTGAACGATCAGTGAAGGATCATGCAGCACTCATGTCAATCCTTGATCGCCATCCAGTATGTATTTATTTAGCATTTAGATTCTTTGTGAAACCTTATTTTAGATAACTAGTCATGTGATGCGTATTTAGCTCTGTCGATGAACTTTACTCATCAAGACATGTAGAAAAGAAATTTGTCGTCGTATGCTGTTTGTCACGACCCAAAATCTCACCACATGCGTCGTGATGGCACTTAGTCTTTAAGACTAAGTAAGTCGATTACAATTACATTACGAGCCATTTTTTTTTGAAACATATAATTTAATACAAGTGTCGAAACCAAAAGCGGAAACAAATATAACAACCTCCCAAGACTAGTAGTACTGAGTCACGAAGTCTAACTGAATACATGCAATGATCTCAAGGATTGAATATATAATACTGTTCGAATAAGAGTTGACAGATAAAATGGAAAGACTCCAAGGGACTGCGACGACCAAGCAGCTCTACCTTGAATCCTTGCGATCAACACACTAACTCTGCCCGAGTCCGATATCCCCAATACCTGGCTCTGCACAAAAATGTGCAGAAGTGTAGTATGAGTACACCACAGTCGGTACCCAGTAAGTATCAAGTCTAACCTCGGTGGAGTAGTGACGAGGTACAATCAAGACACTCACTAGTCAAATAACCTTTGCAATATAGCATACAAAAATAATATACAGATAAATAACAGTGATAGCAACAATAATCAACTAGTGATATAAACAGCAAGGCAACAAGAATACCATAAATATTGCTCAAGCGAATAATGAACACAAGTACAACCAATTAATCAAGTCCTTCAAAATATACATCTTTCAAATGTAAGTCCTTCAAATATAAATCTTTCACATATAAATTACAAATAAAAATCTTTCGAATATTTCTTTCAAATAAAAGTCACTCTGTGACACCTTATTTCATAATCATAAAATACGGGTCTTAGCCCACTTTCATATTTTCACGGCACCTTGTGCCCATATCTCTATTACAACCGCACGGACAACTCACGTACCAAAATATCAATGTATATAAGACCCGCAGGATCAATTTATTTTCAATAAAGTAAGTTTACAATTTTTAAACCAAGTAAGAAATCAACAAAGAAATGAGTTTATTTTTTTTGAACTCGTTTGGGTGAAGAAAATGACATTTCAATTAAAATGAAGCATCCGATAGCTACTGATTTGGATGTAAAATTTATTAAATTAAAACATAATAGCAATTTCTTTTATTCAAAACAACTCAAACCTCGAAAACCAGTAAAAACCAGAAACACAAATCCTCAGAGTCTCGTACGAAGAGCCAAAGCCAACACAATACAACAAAGAATACAAAACACATAATACATCACGGAAGAACACAAGAATTTACACATCACGGAAAAACAAAATAACCAAAGGCAAGTACAACCATAGAGAAATATCAACAAAGGGCACTCCCGAGGTACCGCCTCGTAGTCCCAAATCTTAAATAAATTTCAGTCTTTCCTTATATCACCGCGGGAGCCTTCACATTTAGTTTTTAAAAATTATTTTTTTTTTCGAAACAGCATCCCGCGTTTTAGCCACCCTTATCACACCACATGGCTTCTAGTAGTTCCCCTACTAGCCACGCGTATCAAGTCCTCCTTATCTCACCGCATGCGTTTCAACACCCAGACCTTATAGCACCGCATACGTATCAATATCACAATATATCACAATTCGCACCTCAAGTGCCTGATTATCATAGGATAACACAACTTGCACCTCAAGTGCTCAAATATCATAACATATTATTAATTGCACCTCAAGTGCTCAAATATCACCACATATCACAAATTGCACCTTAAGTGCTCAAATATTACAACATATCACAAATTGCACATCAAGTGCTCAAATATCAAAACATATCACAAATTGCACCCCAAGTGCTCAAATATTACAACTTGCCACACAAAATAAACAATACATTATTTTCCACAATAAGGAGCCCATGGCTCAACCATAATGTGCACAAAATCTTAACAAGATATCCGGGAGTGAACAACTCAACAAAATAATATTTCACAATTTAACACCTTGCCTCAATATGATTTATGGCCTTTATAACTCAATACCAATTTCAACAACATGAACTGGAAAGTAATTCATCAAGCGGCAACGCCTTCTTTAATCCAAATTTTTGGCAAATAGATTAATGCCTCCTTTTAAATTTATTTAATAAATTATTTGCAAATGAATAATCCATAATGAAATTATCTCCAGAAAATATCAACTCAACAAAAAAACGGGATTCACATAAAAATCAAGGTGGTAATCACACCAAATTATCATATAAAAATAAATTCAACAAACAAGGATTTACTATGTTCCAACAATTTTTCAATTTAATACATGAGGGCGTCTACGAATTTCAACCAATGTAATTTGCACATATAAACCAAGTACGTACTCGTCACCTCGCGTACATGGTTTTCAATTACACAATTTTCACATAAGACTCAATGCCTAAGGGGTAATTTCCCCCACTCAAGGTTAGGCAAGATACTTACCTTTTTGAAGTTAGGCCGATATTCCAAAATAGCCTTCTTACTTGAATTGACCTCCAGACAGTTCAAATCTATCCAAATTAATTGTATAATTTCATTAAAATTCATCGAAAATAATTCTGGATAATAAAACGTCGACCTAAAATTTTATTCTAAAAAGTCAACGCGGGGCTCGCCTCTCGGAACCTGATAGAATTTTCACGAAATCCGAACACTCATTCCGATACGAGTTCAACCATACCAAATTTATCAAATTCCGACAACGAATCGACCTCCAAATCTTAAATTTTTGTTTTTGAAAGATTTTGCAAAAGTCCCATTTTCTTCCAATTGATTCACTAATAAAAGATGAAAATAATCATGGAATCATGAAATATAATGAAAACCGAGTAGGAAACACTTACCCTAATCCATTTGGTGAAAATCCTCTCAAAAATCGCCCAAATCCGAGTTCCCTAGCTTCAAAAATATTGAAATGAGCTAAAAAAACAAAACTGCTCAATAAAAACTCATTTCCCGTCACTAAAAGTCCATTTCCCGTCACTAGAAGTCCATTTCCCGTCACTAAAGGTCCGCACCAGAACCTGCTTGCACTAACAATTTAATATTTCACTAAAAAGGCTTTAACTCCATCATACGAAATCGGAATTCGACGATTCTTGTTCCTATGAGTCACAAATAATAATACGAACCTAGTCGTTTAATCGAAATTCAATTCGGAGCTCATTTGCTCAATGCGATACCAATTTCGCTCGTTAAACAATTAACTCATGTTTCGCGCTAAAAACCCAATCGCGACTTGATGAAATTGGACCAAACATTCCAGATCATTCCTATAATTCATTATCAAACTCTCGGAAGTATCGAAATCGAATTTCAATCTCTAGAACTAAAAATGGACCTTTGGATCATTACATGCTTATGCTCAAAACACCAAACTCTTCCAAAACTCTTCCCAAACAACCTGTAGTGTATCAACCATAACTTTTTGTACCCAACTCCAACGGCCAAACAGTTTAAATTTCTGAAAACTAGATACAAAGGACTACAACTTTTATTTTTGGATCATCGCCAAATTCCTTATAGATTACGAAATATAAGCTTCCAAAGTCAGTCTTGTGCAACAGAAATTTCTGCGATGCTCACTGCGAGGCAAAACAACTGCAGTACCAGGCTTCAGTTAATCGATCATAACTTTCTGTACAAATGTCCAAATGATGAATGGTTTACATTTCTGGAAACTAGACTCAAAGGGCTACAACTTTCATTTTTGGATCATCTCCAAATTCCTTACAGATTACGAGATATAAACTTCCAAAGTCAGCTCTGTGCAGCAGAAATTTCTGCGATGCACACTGCTGTAGCCAAAAATCAGTAGTTAAAAATGGCCTAGAAATGGTCCGAAACCACTCCGAAACTCACCCGAGCCCCTTGGGACCCCGTCCGAACATACCAACAAATCACAAAACATATTACGGACTTAGTCGAGGCCTCAAATCACATCAAACAACACCGAAACAACGAATCGCATCTCGAATCGAACTTATGAGTTTATGAAATTTTCCAAATTCTATATCTTGTGCCGAAACGTATCAAATCAATCCGGAATGACTTCAAATTTTGCATGTAAGTCACAAATGACATAATGGAGCTGTTCAAATTTCCAGAATTGAATTCCGACCCCGATATCAATAAAGTCAACTCGCTGTCAAACCTTGTAAAAATCTTCCATTTTTCAACTTTGGCCAAAATGCGTCGAATTGTCGTACGGACTTCCAAATCCAAATCCGGACATGCGCCTAAGTTCGAAATCACCATACGAAGCTATTGGAATCATCAAAATTCCATTCCGGAGTCGTTTACTCAAAAGTCAAATCTTCGGTCAAACTTTAGAAATTCAAGCTTTATAAATGAGAATTGTTCTTTCAATTAAATTCCGATATCTTCCGAAAACCAAACTCGACCCCACACGCGGGTCATAATACATATTACGAAATTGCTCGGGACCTTAAGTCACTGAACGGAACGTAAATTCTCAAAACGACAAGTCGGATCGTTACACTGTTGGTTCTATACATAGACATATTATTAGTGGGTGTTCTTAGGATAGTTGTCAAATTGTGGAAATTGAGTTCATGAGCTTTCAAAGATAAAATCTGTCGACAGCTTGTGCCGTTGGGAGAGCTTGGTGATTTTCTTAATATGTATTTAATATATGCTGCCATTCTTATTTTAACCGGTTAAAATGACTAGATTTGGATTCGTTGGTATTTGATTTTGACTACACAACTTTGAAGTGCTTGCTCTTTAGTTTGTTGTATGTATATTCCATGTAATAGTTAAAGTCATTACTTACATACTTATATATCTCCTGGAGTAGCTAGCAGAAGCGTAGGCTAACCTGTGTATTTTTCTCTATGATAGATTGAATCAGCTCTTCCAACCTTGGCAAGACCAATCATGTCGTTGGATGCCAATGAAGACGCCATTGCGGGAGCTCTGAAGCAGAGCTTGGTAAGACTAGTTAACCAGGCTACATGTGTGTTGCCGTTCTTGCTGTATCCTTTATTATGGGTTATGTTGCAACCGTGTTTCTAGAGTTGCTATAGAATATTCTCTTGAAAACACCTAGTGATGCTTACTAAAGAACGTTACGGGTTAATGTAACCTATTTATTAAAAGAAAGTATACAGCACCTGTTTGTTTTCTTATAAAGGTATAGCTACTTTCAGTTTGAAAATTGTCTAATTACTTATAATACAGAATGAAGTACTTTTTTTCTTCAGAGACAACATGTGAAAATTTTTGCTGCAAGTTTTGGTGTATTAAAAGAATACTCTATTAGTGAATACAAATGGGAAACATGAATTCATCGTATGTAACAACAGTAGAAAAGAAAGCTTAACAACAAGCCTGATTAATGAAGTTCAATAAATTTGAGCAATTGTAGCCTGATAATCTTGTTTAAAGTCCTCTCGTGTCGAACAAATCAATGTGCAAGTTTGGGGTGTTGTGAAGCATGTAAGCCTTGAATGTTGCAAAAGTAATTTGGAAACTAATGACAGATGCAAAATAGTTGAATTTCTTCCTGTCTGCCTAAGCCCTGATAGAGAGTGTTACCCGGTACTTGTGCCGGTGGGAGGTAGCAAGTATACGGTGGAATAGTTGAGGTGCACACAAGATGGCCTAGATATTACTGTTGTATAAAAAGTTCGTGACTTTTGTTGGATCCATTTTGTGGGATATTTTGTTTATTGGATGAACAATCTTTAAGTTGCAGCTACAATAATAGTTTCCATAGATTATTTCTCAAAAAGTAAAAAATAAAGAAATAAAGTCAATAACTACCTCCACAGACTCATTCAAGTTATTGGTGCTTATATTTGCAGAGACAATTAGAAGGTCTTGGTGCTCAGCGGGCAGGGCTCGAAGATATGCTGAAAGAGATGAAGAGGAAGGTATGATAACATAGCCACTTGTACCTTAGTGTAACTTTTGACTTCTTATTTTAAAGAGGTGGGCATATATTTAAGTCCGAAATTTTTAGCTAATATATATAGTTGTTATGTATGTTCTGTTTTTGCTCATAGGATTGTTGAACAAGTATGATCTTTTGAATTCCTCGAAAGAAGGGAAACAAAGGTTTTTGCTAGTTCACATGTAAGAGGTCTTACTTTGTCTGCTACTTGACAGTACTAATCATGGTACAAGCACATAAGCTTGCACCAAAGTGAGCAAAATAATATGTTTGCTTAAAGTATTGTGGACTGGTAAATAAATCCTTGCATTTGCTTAATAACCCAAAAAATAAAAAGGAACGTTGCATTTGGTTGTCCTGGCAGTGATGGCCTGTTCATTGTATGTTAGTGAATTCTCTTGGTGCATCTAATTTTATGTGCTTGGTCCTTCTGGGGGCATTATAGTGTATCGTGACCCTAGTTTTGGTTATGTATTAGCTACTTCTTGTTAAGTCTACCAGATTCTCAGAGCTTCCATTTCCTTTTGGAGCTTAGGAAGTCAAAACAGATTCCTCCTTAGTACATTTAAAATAGCATTAGTCTTAAAGAAGCTAAGGTTAACACTACTTCATCACTCGGTTCAGTGGTTTCTCTTCAATCGTCATCCATCGGCAACAGGTCACTGAAAATGAATTGCACTTGTCTTAGTCAAACATTTCTGTTTCCATCGGAAAGGTGCTTGTTTCTTGGTATTTGTTCTGCTTCCTTGCTCACTGATCCAGGATCTGCGAGATCCAGCTTTACCATTTATATTGTGGGGTATTGCACAGGATGATATACTTCCTAAGCTGATGACATCCACTGGTTCCCACGAGGATCTTTTCAGAAAGGAGATTGCAAAATATGATCATATTTGTGAAGAAATTGCACAGAACCTTGAGGCGCAAGAACAACTGTTGCTGCAAATTCAGGTCCGATATAAAGTTTCTATATCTGGGAAATTTCTTTTACTACTCTTTTCTTTCTGATGCTGAAGCATCTGCATTAAGCTTTAAATATCATAACTATTCTAGGGATATTGATCTGGTAAATTGATGATGCATGTATTGCACATTCTAGTCCAATGTCACCTTTTGCATTTTCTTCCTTTTCCGTGTTTAAATATTTTATTTATCTGGCTTGATATTTGTAGTAGTATGGGAACAATAAAAATGCTTAACATTTGAGGATCTTTGTGGAAAACTAAAGCCGAATGACAAAAAAATCCCACTTTCTGAAAAGAACAACCTACAATGACTTTATTATTTTAATGTATCTCTTTGAATCCTCTCTAACAATATTTTTCATTTGCAGGCTCAAAATGAGGATTTTGCTTCCATTTTCAATCTTGAGGATTATAAAGGTACGTTTTAATCTGCTCTATCTTTCAGGGTTATTGTCTGAAGCATGGTGAAGCTTTGACTTTTATTGTTCCTTGTGGCACTGGGAAACAAGTTTTGTATGTGTACTTGTTCACTTTACTAACTGGAAAAGATAATTAGTAGGTTGCAGATGTAGTTGCAGTCTCTTGTTTTTGCAAGTTTCTTCCCCAGGAACATGGTGAGCTGCTGGCTCACCCATATTAAGATATGTTTCCACTTTTATGATCTGCATTTGCTGGACGGGATGCGCAAGGCTCTCGGTTGTTGCACCAGAGTCTCTGTTTTTCAGTTATGAGTGAACCTTTACCACTTTAAAAATTCAGCTCAGGAAATATGTTGGTCATTACAAGATGAAGGAAAAAAAAGAGGGTACTCAACATGAGCATGACTGATCAATGTGGATGGTTTTCAAAGGAGGTGACTTCAATTTATAGAAAAAGTTTGTGGAAAAGGATTACAAAGGAAAAAATAGTTATTTATTTATTTATTAAAATTCAGGGTTTCTGCTGGGAATTTTGAGTTTTTTGCTTGACATGTCATGTGGTGATACAACATTGAGAGATACTAACAAGAGAGACTTTTCCACTAACACAAATAAAATGTCAATTAGCAAAGACCAATTTAGTATTCTTATTTAGCAATAGCCAATATGAGATGCCTAGAAACATAATGACCCAAAAGTAATGAGCGTGGAATTCCTTGTGCACCCTACACATATTAGAAACCAGGGACACCCTAAGGAGCTATGAAATTAAGCCAAAAGGCATGTATAATATTGTCAATGAGTCAGGAATTGTAGAAGCTTTCTGCTTCCATGTGCAGCCACCACCAACAAAGGAACAATGACCATGTTCAACCGAAATATGATTTTAGATATCTGATTTGTTTTACTCTGAAATGTTTTTGCTATTAGTGTCCCAATGTTGATTTCTAATTCACGCAGTATTAGTTAATTTTTATCAGCTTAATGTGTATGTCTCAATGTTACAGCATCCCGTGAGCGAATCTATAAGCAAATTGAAGCTGCCATTTCAAAATACCGAGAAATAAAGGAGAATATCAACGAGGGATTGAAGTTCTATGTTACACTTCAGGTATGAGGTTTCGCATCTGTTAGAGAACTTTGAGAAAGGGGAGAGGGGAGGGGAGGAGGGGTTGGCTAGCCTACTTCGATGGATTTTATTCATGGTTAAATTCCTCTTCCAATTAAATCTTAAGCTTGTGAGCCTAATGGATGTGCTCTATCTTTGATGGTATTCCAATACTGCTAAAGACCATTCAATGGGTAACCTCTTCTAAATGTTATCTGAAGTAGGATAGGGCATGAAGTTCAGTTACACCTAATTATTGGTTTACTTGCTTGTATTAAAAAACAAAAAAAAAATCTACCATTTGCATATTATTTCTAAATGAAAATAGAAGTGTTTATTTTATCGTATTCTATTATTGAGAAAACATATTTTCTGAAATATCCTGTCATTGAGTTGTTTTCTCTCTTTTTAGTGTTAAGTTTCATTTTCTATTACATGTTAATTTTTAATAGAAAGTTCTGATCTAATTTATCAAATATGACATGAGAATTGATAATTCTTCAGTGTGTATATCTGCATATGATAATTATTTGGAAGTTGTAAGAGATCGAAAAAGGAACTTATTGAGTGAATTCTCTGTGGTTTCATTTCATTGAGACCTCATTTTTTGCGTGCTACCAACTATATTTAAGCTATCTTACTTTTTGTTTCACTTCTTAGTTGTGTCACTTCTTTTCATCTCAGTTTATGTTGAAGTGGCTTTCCACATGGTAATACAATCACTCCGTAAAGTTATTCTTGACTTGTTAAATCTATCAGAAAAAACAAAGAAGTTATTCTTCACTTTTAAAATGCTAGAGAGGAATTTGTAACACTCTCTTCTTTTAAACAAATGGGCCTTCTTTTCGCGATATTTAATGTTCCTCTCTACCTTTTAAATATTATTGGTAGCACCTATTCAAACTATTTTCAATGAATTTATGTTTTTTCTTTTTGTAAGTATTATTTCCACTTTAAAGTATAGTTACATCATGAGAGCTAATTATAACCACCAAGCCTAATGTACTTTTTTTCACTTTGGTTCATGTTTTTATTTGCTTGCAACTTTTCTTTGTACTCCTAAATATACCTGCTTAATCATCTAAGGTAAAGAGAAACTACTACAATAAGATCCAAAAAGAAGATATGATACTCTAGTTGTTTTCTACATTATCTTATCTTTCGGTTAACAGCTTAGCCGATTCTTAAAGTTTCAAGAACTCAAATTTAACAACTAAATAATAATTTACACACGTGCCTTGATTTATTTATGAATGTCATTTGATTGTACAAGTTTTTGTTATTGAATTTTTATTATACAGAGTCCTGGTCTTTTGTGCTTCCTAACTAATTTCATCACTCAATTTATAGAAACTAATTCTTACCCTAGTACGTGTGTAAGGAACATAGGTAGCAATCGAACTTGTAAGGAATATAATACTACTTTCCAAATATATAGGAGTATTATATGCTAGAAACAAATGAAGAAGGATAAGGATTATACTGGGATTAGAAAGCTAAAGCACAAAAACCGAACGAAAGCAGTAAGTTGGTCTGGAATCAGGATGGAAAGGGAATGTGCGTTTAGCTTAGAATTTCTTTTACATAATTGATTTTCGTTTTAGTTGGTTTGAATACTCTCTGTGACTGCCGACTTAGGCAGGTCTTGCTCAATATCTTATTTCTCTATTGTCCCCGAGCTGATCTCATTTCAAATATGATATCTATTTGCTCCTTCAACGGAGGATGAGGAACTGACATTCTATTTTTCATGGGTTAAACAGGATGCGATCACAAATGTAAAGCAACAGTGCAGTGATTTTGTGATGACAAGAAACATACAGTGTCGAGAAATGATGGATGAGGTTCAGAGACAAATTTCAGGTCTCAGTTTCCAGGACAATAAAGGTTCAAATGGCTATAATTATCCTTCTGTTCCTCAGTCCCATCAGGTGCCAAGATCCAATCCCCAACCGCCAACAGACCCTGCGAATATGCCCAACGCTGTTCGACCCCCGACTCCTACTTACCACCCCTCTCAGCAGCCCGCAATGGCTGGTAACCCGCAGCAGCCCACGATGCCTGGTTATACTCAAAATCCGTTACCTTATGGTCCTCCTCAGCAGCCTACACCGCCTTATCATTTGCAAACTTCCGGTCCCCCATATCCACCGCCTCAACATCAACAGCAACCACCACCGAGCCACGAGTATGGCCAACCTGCGTATCCTGGGTGGCGGGGTCCCTACTATAATGCATCTCCACAACAACCTGCACCTCCTCAGCAACTGGGTTCTATGCCTCGACCTCCTTATACCGTCCCTTCTCCATATCATCCTCCTCCCCATCAGAGTGGCTATTACCGGCAATGATAGTTTTCCTATTTGTCTTCATGTGCAGCCTTGACAATTTTGTCTCAGTAAGTTTTTGAGTCCTTCTCTAAAGGGGATTCGATCAGGTATTCTCCATTGATGCTAGCTCTCCATTGGCTCACATTACAACTTATGCAAGTTAATACATCTACATTTACCTGTTTGTATAGGTTTGGTCTCTTTGTATGATCATGCTTTATTCGGCGCGACTCTACTCAAATGTATTTTGGATCAATAATTTAAAATTCTAGTGCTTAGTAAACAATAAAGTGTGATGTTTAGGTGTTTATTGACCTCCCTTCCATTGTTTAAGGACATGAGCATATACAACTTAACTAGATAGAACACTATACTGGTGAAAACCTACTATAAATTTACTCCACCTATATGGATTTTCAACAATTCTTTCTGATTTCAGTATTTTTGTGGCACCATAGTTTAACTGTATAAGTTTCAGAATGCTGTACTGCATGTCTGTCTTTAATTCCTTGCTCGTTTTCAGTGTAGTGGTGCTCTCTACTATAGTTTTTTAAAATGAGATGTTACACTCAGATGTGACAGGTCAAGTTTAATTAGGCCTGTAAACCCCTTCATGAATTCGGGCAACTCGCGGCGAATCGCCTAAAATTTTGTGTGCCCATCAAAGAAACATGATGAACAATAGTCATTGCTTCTCCATAGTCGTTCCTCTTTTTTTTTGGCGTTTTAGGATCATAAAACAGGAATTCAGCACGAGTTTTGATTTTTCGTGTGTTAATGTCCACACCTATCTTCATGAATTCGAGCGACCGGCCTTGAATCACCTAAAATTTTGCGGACCCATCAGAAATGACCTAATGACTCAATAGTCATTGTTTCTTCATGATCGTTCCCTCGTTTTTTGGCGTTTTAGGGCCATAAAATATGAGTTCAGCACGATTTTCAATTTTTCGTGTGCTAATGTTCACGCCATCTTCATGAATTCGGGCGACCGGCCCCGAATCGCCTAAAATTTTGTGGGTCCATCAGAAACGGCTTAATGAACAATAGTCATTGTTTTTCCATGACAATTCCTCATTTTTTTGCGCTTTAAGGCCATAAAATAGGAATTTAGCATGATTTTCGATTTTTCGTGAGCTAATGTCCACGTCATCTTCATGAATTCGGGCGACCGACCCAAATCGCCTAACATTTATGGGCCCATCAGAAATGACCTAATGAAAAATAGCCATTGCTTCTTCATGACCGTTCCTCATTTTTGGCATTTTAGGGTCATAAAATAGGAATTCAGCACGATTTTTTATTTTTCTTGTGCTAATGTCCATGCCATCTTCATGAATTCGAGCGACCGGCTTCGAGTCACCTAAAATTTTGTGGGTCCATCATAATTGATCTAATGAGCAATAGTCATTGTTTTCCATGACCATTCCTCGTTTTTCTCTTTTTAGGACCATAAAACAAGAATTCAACACGATTTCCGATTTTTTGTGTGCTAATGTTCACGCTATCTCTATGAATTCGGGCGATTAGCCCCAAATTGCCTCAAATTTTGTGGGCCCATCAGAAATGATCTAATGGGCAATATTCATTGTTTCTTCATGACTGTTCCTCGTTTTTGGTATTTTAGGGTCATAAAATAGAAATTCAGCACGATTTTCAATTTTCGTGTGCTAATGTTCACGTCATTTTCATGAATTCGGGCGACCGGTCCCGAATCGCCTAAAATATTGTGAGCCTATCAGAAACGACCTATTGAGCTATAGTCATTGCTTCCCATGACCGTTCCTCATTTTTGGCATTTTAGGGCCATAACATAGAAATTTAGCACGATTTTCGATTTTCGTGTGCTAATGTTCATGCCATCTTCATGAATTTGGGCGACCGGCCCCGAATCGCCTAATGGGTGATAGTCATTGCTTCTCCATAACCATTCCTCATTTTTTTTTTGTCTTTTTAAGACCATAAAATAGGAATTCAGCATGATTTCCAATTTATCGCGTGCTAATGTCCACGCTATCTTCATGAATTTGGGCGATCAGCCCTAAATAGCCTAAATATTTGTGGGCCTATAAGAAACGATCTAATGAATAATAGTAATAGCTTGTCCATGACCGTTTCTCGTTTTTGGCGTTTTAGGGCCACAAAACAGGAATTTAGCATGATTTTCGATTTTTCGTATGTTAATATCCACGTCATCTTCATTAATTTGGGCGACCGCCTCGAATCGCCTAAATTCTTGTGGGCTCATCAGAAACGACCTAATTAAGGGTGGCAAGTGGGTCGGGCCTGGCCCACGAGCTAAGTGGGCTAAACGGGCTGGACCGTTAGGCCCGCTAGAGGTGGGCTCTTGCCGATCTCATGGGCCGGTTCTTAGCTAGGAATCGTTAGGACCGGGCCCGTTTGGTCCGCCAAGAGACCGGGATCGGACCGGTCCCTTAGCGGGCCCAACGAATATATATTTTTTTTTTTTAAAAAAGAGCCGTTTGGCTTTTGAAAAAAAGAGTTGTTAGGGGTTTAAAAAATAACCGTTGGCTATTTAAAAAATAGACATTTAACCCGCCCAACTTAGTTTTAACCCCAAACTTTTTATTATTATACTTTTTCTCTATTTTCTACTATAAATACCCCCTTCCCATTCTTTCATTTTCTTACAAAATCAATATAAATCTATCAAAATCTCTCTCTAATTTTCTTCTATACTTGCTATAATTTTTTACTTTGTCAAAACAATTGTGAAAAAATGAGGTTGCTACTATTACTTACTTTATTCCAAAAAATAGTCAAAAAATATTGAGGTTGTTACAATTTGTGAAAAAATTGTGAAGTTGGTGAATTGAAGTCTTCAAGTCTTCAACGATAGTCAATTTTTAACAAGTTGTTCGTCAATTCGGTAAACTCCTTCTAACTCTTAAGTCTTAATAATATAGTTTTGTTTGTTTTATTTATTTGCTATTACTTGATTAATTAGGATGTCTTCCTGAAGAAATATATTTGGTAAAAATAAGAATAAGGGAAAATCCAAGACTGGCGAATCTAGTGGTACTGTTGTTCCTCCTCCCCTGCCCCCGGCTCCCCGAACCAAATCCCATACCCGTCCTACACTTGCTATTCTTGATACCGATAATGGTTTATTACAATTTAGCGACACTGAATTTTGCCATAATATTACACCCGGTGAACATTTAGACCATGAATTAATGAATGCTCTCTATTCTAATAATTATAATACTATTGATGAAAATGATGATGAGGAAATTGATCTTGATGAAACTCAACCGGACGATGATACACCCACTAGTCCTGCTCTTGATGTTGACCCAACTAGTGATAACCCTGCGAATCCAAATGATGATCCATTTGATACTCCCGTTACTGTCCTTACCTTTTCTAGAGAACCTACCAAACGGCATGAAAGATCTCCTATTTGGCCATTATTTACTCAACTAGTTCCAAAAAATAAGGCTAAGTGTAAAACTTGTAGTATGGAGTTAGCTTTTAAATATACTGGATCGCGATCGGGGACAAGATCATTGGCTAGACACATAAAAAAATACCCTAAAGATAACGTCAGATATCAACATCTGAAAGCTCTAGCCGAGGGGAAAAGTGTACCTAGTACTAGTCAGGCTGACCCTAGTACCGGTTCAAATCAATTTCAATCGGAAATTAACACTTATATTATGATCCAGAAAAAGATCGGGAAAAATTGAAAAAAGTGGTAATTGTTATGTGCTTACTCTATAGTTTTCCTTTTGACCATGCGTTTGTGCATTATATTAGAATTTTTTTTAATCCTACTTATAAAGGTTTTCCTCGCACAACTGTAAAGAGCGATATTTATAAATATAAGCATGAATATGAACAATATTTGCGCTATTTATTTACTCATATAAATTGTCGTGTTGCTATTACAACTGATATTGGTAGATGTAACAACGGCTGTTATTACCTTACTGTTATATGTCATTGGATTGATGAAGATTGGATAATGCAAAAGCGCATAATTACTTATAGAATAATTGCTTCACGTCACACATGGCAGTTTATTGCTAGCATAATTACAGATATTTGCAGGTATTTTTGTATTAGTGATAAAATAATGTCGGTTTCAATGGATAATGCTAGTAATAACACAAATGCTATAGACTTGCTTAGCACTAAGCTAAATCTTGCATTTAGTAACATTTTTCATGTTAGATGTATTTGTCATATTTACCATTTAATTGTGGGTGATGGTATGAGAATTTTAAATATTCAAATTGAAAAGGTTAAAATGGCTCTTATCTGGCTTTTTCATTCAAACTGTAGAAGTAGACTTAGAGAAATATTTTAAAAGATGTGATGATTGTGGCCTAAGAGAAAGAAAAGTTTCTAAACCTTGTCCAACTAGATGGAATTACAAGTATGAAAGTTTGGTTGTTGCATATGAATATAGAAACCCCAGAAACTCAACGTTTAATGCACATGTAAGTGATGATGACGATTACCTTACGAATGGAGATTGGGCTAATGTTAAAATGCTTGTTGATATTTTAGAAAATTTTCATATTTCTACAAAAGAATTTTCTGGGAAATATTATCCTGCTATTTTTAACTGTTTAGTTTATATTGCAGAACTTGTAAAGTTGTTTGCTCATTTTTCACAGGGTAGGAAAATTTATCAACTTGCTATTGATTCTATGAGAAAAAAGTTTAAAAAATATTTTTTTCCCTATTCCCCATATTTATGGTGTTACTGCTTTGTTAAATCCTTGTATAAAATTAGGAGGTCCTCAATTTTGGTATGAAACTGTTTATAATGGTTTAACACTTAAAGATGATGAGTTGCCTAAACTTCCGGAAGCAATAGCCTCAATTAAAACAAATGCTGAAACTATTTATAATGCTTATCAAGTTGCATTGAATCATACTAGACCAAATGTTCCAACTTCTTCTTCTTCTTCTTCTTCGGGAGTAAGAGGACTTAGTGTTTGGGCGGGGTTTAGGGGTTCTTTTGGTTCTAGTAGTAATGATTTTTCACAACTAAATGAGCTTGAAGTTTATTTGTCGCAACAACTTGAGGAAGTAAATCCCGACGACACCTTTAATATATTGCAATGGTGGAAGGACAAAGAAAAATACTTTTCGATTCTTTCAAGGATGACCCGAGACATTTTAACTATTTAAGCTTCAACTGTGGCATCAGAGAGCACTTTCAGTCATGCAAGACTTCAAATCGGTGATTATAGAGCGTCTATGAGGGAGAGCTTGGAAAAATCAGTACTTTTCAAAGATTGGATCCGTTTGGAAAGAAAAAATTTTGGACTTGATAAATCACAATCAGAGGTAGACAAAACTTACAAATAAATGCTAGCTGAACTTGCTGAGGATGCTGCTTCGCCCGACAACGGAAGCGGCGATGACTAAGCTACTTTTACGCCACCACCAACAGAACTTCCTCCGAACCTTGAAGGATTTATGAAGTTTGTAAGAGATAGCATGTAACTTGTATGAACAAAAATTAGTATGTATTATGTAACTTGTATTTTGGCACATCTTGATTAGTTCCTTTTTCTTCTCAATGGTGGTATTAGCACTTTGTTGTGCTCATTCCAATTGGGGGAGGAAGACTAAGAAAGATATTGCCATATTTTTTATTGCTATAATAAAATTACAAGGCATTGCCTTTGATATTTTTTTAACATCTTTTTATCTCTAATTTATATTTAATTTTAAAAAAAAAAATTACTGCTTAGCCGTTGGGCCCGTTTAGCCCATTGGGACCGCAGACCTGGCCCGTTTAGCCCGGGACCATGAGTTCATGGGTCCGGTCCCGAACTGATTCCTACAAAAAGCACGTTTATCCCGGGACCGTTTAGCCCATTTATTTAAGGACCGGAACCGGCCCACGAGATCGGCCCGTTTAGGGGCCGACACGGCCCACTTGCTACCCCTAGACCTAATGAATAAATGTTATTGCTTCTCTATGACTGTTCCTCATTTTTAACATTTTAGGGTCATAAAATAGGAATACAACACGATTTTCGATTTTTCGTGTGCTAATAATGTTTATGCCATCTTAATGAATTCGGGCGACTCGTCCCGAATCGCCTAAAATTTTGTAGGCCCATCGAAGATGACCTAATGAACAATAGTCATTGCTTCTCCATGTCCGTTCTTTATTTTTTGGCATTTTAGGGACATAAAACAGGAATTGAGCATGATTTCCGATTTTCTGTGTGCTAATGTCCATGCCATCTTCATGAATTTAGGCGACCGACCTCTTTTTGTGCTAATATCCATGCTATCTTCATGAATTCGAGCAACCGGTCCCGAATCGCCTAAAATTTTGTGGGCCCATCAGAATCGACCTAATGAGCAATAGTCATTGTTTCTCCGTGATTGTTCCTCGTTTTTTGTCTTTTTCGAACCATTAAATAGGAATTTAGCATGATTTTTGATTTTACGTATACTAATGTCCATGCTATCTTTATGAATTCGGGTGATCGGCCCCAAATCGCCTAAAGTTTTGTGGGTCCATCGAAAATTACCTAATAAGCAATATTTATTGCTTCTCCATGACTGTTCTTCATTTTTTTGGCGTTTTAATGCCATAAAGCAGGAATTTAGCGCGATTTCTAATTTTTCGTGTGTTAATGTCCATGCCATCTTCATAAATTCAGGAGACCGACCCCAAATCGCCTAGAATTTTGTGGGCCCATCAAAAATGACTCAACGAACAATAGTCATTACTTCTCCATGACAGTTCCTCATTTTTTGTGTTTTAGGGCCATAAAATAGAAATTTAGCACGTTTTTCGATTTTTCGTATGCAATGTCCATGTCATCTTCATGAATTGAGGCGACCGCCACTAAATTCCTAAAATTTTATGGGCCCATCAGAAATGACCTAATGAACCATAGTCATTGCTTCTCTATGAACTTTCGTCGTTTTTGACGTTTTAGGGCCATAAAACAGGAATTTGGTACGATTTTTGATTTTTCGTGTGCTAAAGTCCATGCCATCTTCATGAATTAGGGCGACCAGCCCCGAATCGCCTAAAATTTTATGGGCCCATCAGAAACGACCTAATGCACAATAATCATTGCTTTTCCATGACCATTCCTCCTTTTTGATGTTTTAGGACCATAAAATAGGAATTCAACATGATTTCTGATTTTTCGTGTGCTAATGTTCACGCCATCTTCATGAATTCAGGCGACCGACCCCGAATCAGCTAAAATTTTGTAGGCCAATCAGAAACGATCTAATGAATAATAATCATTGCTTCTCCATGACTGTTCCTCATTTTTTGGCGCTTTAGGGCCATAAAATAGGAATTTAGCACGATTTTTAATTTTTCGTGTGCTAATGTCCACGTCATCTTCATGAATTTATGCGACTAGCCCCGAAACGCCTAAAATTTTGTGGACCCATCAAAGACTACCTAATGAACAATATTCATTGTTTCTCCATGATTGTTCCTATTTTGTTGGCATTTTAGGGCCATAAAACAGAAATTCAGATAAACCTAGGTTTTTAGGGAGTTAGAGACGATCGAAGAGGCATCAAAATAGGACCTTTTGATCAGGGAGAGCTCAACAAGGTCGAGACCAATGTGCATCTTCGAGTGTTTGAGCCGATCCCCAATCTCCCCGAATCGCCTAAAATTTCATGAGCCCATCTGAAACAACCTAATGAACAATAGTCATTGTTTTCCCATGACCATTCCTCATTTTCTGTTGGCATTTTAGTGCTACAAAACAGGAATTCAACATGATTTTTGATTATTCCTGTGCTAATGTCTACGCCATCTTCTAAAATTTGGGTCTAAAATTTTGTGGGCCCATCAGAACGACTTAATAAACAATAGTCATTGCTTATCCATGATCGTTCCTTGTTTTTGGCGTTTTAAGGCCATAAAACAGGAATTCAACACGATTTTCGATTATTCGTGTGTTAATGTCCACGCCATCTTCATGAATTCGAGCGACCGACCCCGAATCGCATAAATTTTGTGGGCCCGTCAGAAATGACCTAATAAATAATAGTCATTGCTTCTCCGTGACTACACGAAAAAATTATCATAATTATTAATTCTTATTTTTTGATCCCAAAACACCAAAAAAGACAATAGTCATGGTGAGTATTACTCACAAGACCGTATTAGTTGGATTCACCAATTTTAAGGCCAATCGGAGCCCGTCACCAAATTCAAGAAAATCATCATGTATAATCATCATCATACATAAAAAATGAGATAAGAGTGGGTTGCTCTAGTGGTGAGCACCTTCCACTTCCAATCAAGAGGTTGTGAGTTCGAGTCACCCCAAGAGCGCAAGGTGGGGAGTTCTTGGAGGGAGGGAGCCGAGGGTCTCGGAAACAGCCTCTCTACCCTAGGGTAGGGTTAAGGTCTGCGTACACACTACCCTCCCTAGACCCTACTAGTGGAATTATAATGGATTGTTGTTGTTGTATACATAAAAAATAAACATAATCATTAAATCATGTTTCATGATCCCAAAATGCTAAAAGTCGATGTTAGTCATGGCAAGCATGGCGAGATTAGTCACCAAGTCATTTCCGATGGATCCACCATATTTCAGGTTAATTCGTGTCAATCAACTTTTTGAGCACCGATAGGATCCAATTAGCCATGCACAACATAGGTAGGTTCCATGTCATCGTGCATAGTACTCTTATGACCCCGAGATGCCAAACAAAGACGCTAGTCACGATGAGTTGCTCACAAGGCAGTATCCGATGGTTCCACTAATTTATAGGCCAATCGAAGTCCGGTCCACGAAAAAATGGACATAATCATTAATTCATGTCTTATGTGACCGTGCATAATATTCTTATGACCCCAAAAAGAATATCAAAAGTAGTTTTTTTTTCTTTTTTTTCTTCCGGTTCAACTGATGAACTAGTGTTCGAAAGATAAGTTATACTAACACACGGGAAATCCCTTCTCCGTGAATCCGACCATTTTCAACTTTGTACAGTCAATCAACTTACATCATCAGATCAAGTCCGCTTCAAGCTTAGGATGAGCAAATCAGATGGCTGTTGATGCTATTAGATGATGCATTTGCTTAAGAAGTCAATAATCTACTTAGAAAACATATCATCCCAAAATCATGCTTAAGGAAACGAATTGGTTAGTTGACATTAGACAAAATAAGAAAGCAAAAGAGCTTCTCGCACATCAATTTTCAACACCTGAGAAAGTGTATAAGTTTTGAGATGAAGAAGAAAGAGATACATGGAAGACCAAAAAGCCCAGTCCATTTTGCTTGACAGGCAATTTAACAAGCACTCCTTGAACTTTAATCAGCTATTTTGCCTAGATCAGTATTTACATGAAAATCAATTCACAGCAAAAAATTGCCAAAATTTACAAGAAAATTGCCAAGATCAGTATTTATCGATTCTTCATGCCTTGAGTTGCGCATAGATTGATGTACGAGCTGCATGATGAGGAAACAAACATTTTCCATTTACAAGAACTTGTTCCACAAAATCCACTCGTACTGATTTGAATTGGTACCGCTGTATTCAAAATTAACTTGTTGAGGATGAGAATTTGAACAAACTATTGTGAAAACACATGTAAAAGGCAACTGGTTAGTACATACGCCATAAAATTATTCCAGCCTAAACCATCTTGTGCAATACCATTCACATGCCAAAAGTGGCAATCTTCATTCCAGAATCCGTAAGAAACTAGTTCATTGTTGTTCAACTTCAAAAATTGCTAAATTACATGGTTCACATTCCCTCTATTTAAAGACAGCTTCTATAAAGATATTCATAAAGACAGAATGACGTTCCTATGGGTTTTCTCACTTGTAATTGGTGCAAATGTTGGCAATATTATATCCTAGTTGGAGAAGGATCACTATACTAGGAGCTCAAAGAAAGACAACGAACTCAGTAATCCTTTCTTGCTTTCATTTTTTCTATCTACTTCTGGCAATTGGAAGAGGTGATTAGAATTAATGTTATCCACTGCTGGATCAGAATTTTTTGCTTTTAACTGTATCCTATGCTACAAATTTCCACGATCTAGCCATAGCAGCAGAGGGTGAGAACAGGGAGCAAGCGGGTCAGGTGTGTGTTGAACTGGGTTTGGAATAGTGTGGATGCCTGGCTAGAGTTCAGTGGGTAAGTAGGATTTTGAATTCAACATGAACAGTAAACAAGAGTACCAAACCTACTAGAAAACACAGATGGCATTTTATCACCATATAACAAACACGGCAATTTTACCTGGGCCATGGTCAAAGCCTACAAAATGAGTTTGCTTATTCTGTAGATAAAGTGAAATTCATGATAAATGCAATGATTTTCGCAAGCTAGTACCATCTTTTAATGATTATAAAGGGGTGTCCGGAGGTGTTCACAGAAAGAAAAAAACAGAAAACAACATACATGTTTTAAAGTGGAACAGACACCTGATTTTGGCACGTGCATTGTATATCAAACCAGCTGTGTGGAGTAAGGGGAGGTCGAGTTTCAAGGATTTCCTCTCTAGTATAAGTATAACCATTACCAAAATATATACCTCTTGGAACACATGCACATAGCCGCCACAGGTGGCTAAAAGTAAATTTCGGAAAAAAAGAGCTCAAACTCTTCTTTTTTAGTTCCATTGAGAAAGTTCTTTTTATAAAAAGACACCACTCTACTAGAGAAGATACCGCTGAAACCCATAGGATATGACTTGCAGATGCGATTATGAATAAAACCAGATCGAACCATTAAACTGTCAATGGACAAAAGCCAGAATATTGGCCGCAACCAACGGATGGCCAGGACCAAGAAGCTTTTGATAGAGAAGAACTTCTGACATTTCCAAAATAAATAGACTAAACTGCAATTACTGCATAATAACATAAATAATTACCTTTCCTTTCCAAGAAAAATCTACAAAACGGTAGAAAGGCTCCATTAAGGTGACCTGATCTCCTTCTTTAATCTGTCAGTAGGAGTAAATTATAATTGAATTAAGTGATAATTTAAGGGAAGCTTGGGGAAAAGGATCAAAGCAACCCAAAAGTGTCTAGTTACTTCCTTAAGTTCAGGTAAAATAGAATATTCATGGTTAGTTCCACATTCACCAATTCTCCCTCTCAAAAAGTAATCTATTATGGGCTCTACGTGTTATATTCTGATTAATTTAATCTGTTTATTTTGAGTCAATGCAGGATAGAGGAGGCGATAAATTCACAATCTTGAAGTAAGAAACACTTAATGAATGTATTCACTTTATCGAATCTAGGGTCAGACTGAAGTGTGGATCAAAATCAGATCTTGAATGATACATTCACTTTTTACATTAATGCAAAGAACAAGCCTGGGCAAAAAATTTCTTCTTGAAGATGTCTGAAAATGAAAACTTAAATGGCGGTGTTCAACATTACAGTAATACTATTGGAGGTCAATGAAATAGACTGTTCAGGCTCATGGTTAATCCAGCTATATAACATTTTCTTCTTCTATGTTAAGAGAGGCCAAGGTATTTCTGAAGTACGATACCTACACTTCAACTAATTCTTCTTCCAAGAAGGAAAAGTGAAATGAGAAAAAAATTATACTCTCTCCGTTTCAATTTATGTGAACCTATTTCCTCATTAGTCCATACCAAAAAGAATGACCTCTTTCCTTATTTGGAAACAATTTACCTTTATGCAATGATTTATAGCCACACAAAATATATGTGACTCATTTTACACCACAAGTTCAAAAGTCTTCTCTCTTTCTTTAAACTCCGTGCCTAGTCAAATAGGTTCACATAAATTGGAACGGAGGGAGTATTAATTATCAGGCATATTGCCACCGCTGCTGTTAAGCACAAACGAGGACATGAATATTAACCTCTTTTAGATTATAGTTTTTTGGTGTACCCACAGGGTTCTATATAGATGAGTGGGTGGCATTCGTAGAAACCATGTCTTTTTGTAAGGTTTTCTATTTTTGGTATGCTTCTTGTATATGGCCATCTTTTGCCTTTTGTTTTAATGAAATTTATTACTTAATTAAAAAAAAAGGACATGAATATCAAAAAATGTTGGTTGCTTAACTTGCCTATGTTTCTTCAATTACGAAACAAGATCCCCTTTCTCATGAACTGAGTAACACAAACAAAGAACTGTATGAAAAGACATTAAACAACTCTAGAAGGATGACTTACAGCATCACTGCGAATACCATACACCGAAATTACATAAAACGTGTGATTGGAATCAGATAGCACGTAGTACCTGTGGAATACAAGTACAAGTTCAAAAATCAGTTTATAATGCCATCATTTGCAAGGGGAACAAATAATGAGCAAAGTGATAAAAGATGAGCTACTCTAGGTAGTAGAAATCAAGGTAACTTACAATGGAGCTAAACTCTCATTCTTAGCGAAGAACAGAACTTTTCCTATGATTGCATATCCTTTATTAAGACCTTCAGATAGGAGATCCATGGTTGCTCTTTTGTATGAAGGGCTCACTGCAAGAAATTCCTCTGTTAAGACCTTCATCCATAATGAGGATGATCAACTATCGAACTCTTTTTTTAACTAAGAAGATGAATAAAAATCCTTACAATCAACTGTAGCAAGTGATGATGATAGGGAAGAAAGCCGCTTAGCCTTACTCTGACCCTGAGAGAGAGGACCAAATTCTTCAAACATCATGCATGATAGATGTTCTACACAACCAATAGAAGTGCTTGACACAAACAGATTCGGAATTGTACACTTGTTTTTTCCTCTTGTAAGAGTAATACCTTAACGGTTCTACAATAGCTTGAAAACATGCAAGAGATGAAGAAGAAACAACTAATTTTTGATGAATACCTGCCAGTACAATCAGTAAAAATGGAGACTCGCTCAATCCATTAAGTGGGTAAACTGGATAGATCAGTAGGTCAAACGTAAGAAAGATAAGGCCAATTCTCGGTTGATTTTACTTAGCAACTTGTAGTACCCTGAATGCTTAAACTTCGTCTCGACACTAGCATATCATCAAGCCTTATGCCTTCTCTAACTAACTGTTATTTGTTAGTAAGTTTCCCTTTTTCCTGAACTGCTTTCACCTAATCATCTAACTAAAAAAGACTCAAAATAATTTGAATTGGAGAAAATTTTCACTGAATTTGGTGCAACCTTATTAAGGTTTCTATATTGACCTCTGTAGCATACTGAAACCAACACTGACACTAGATTAAGATACCCACTGCGAACTACTGTGAGAATATACTGGGTATGTTGTTGTTGTTGTTGCGAACTACTTACCTAAAAAAAAAAAAAAAACCCACTGCCAATTTCCCTTTCAAACAACTCTTGCTTCGCATAACTCAGCTGTGTATAATCAGTTTCCTAGCATCAACTAGTTTCCCAGTTCTCCCAAGCATTTAACGAATCCACAATGTTTGAAAAGAAGGGCAACCTTTTGGAACCTTCTTGTCATACAAATTTCACATGACACATTTGTCTCCCCTTGCTACCATTAGCCGGAATACTTTTGTTAGACGTCGAGTGGAAGTCAGAAGCATCTAAAAGACTTCCATATCAAACATTTTATTGCCTCAGAAAAGGGACGTTTTCGTAATAAGCAAGTCAGGTGTCATAAGCTGCAAAAAGCCTCACCCATGTGTTCCATATCGAGAACATATGATATGTCTAAATGCATAAATTTATCAAATTCCCTTCTATATCAAACTCCACACGTCACAGGTCAGACAAGAAAAATCAGATGAGGAACTACGACTCTGACACATTTTATGCCTGGAACAATGCATTTCTGAATCAAAATAATGAAGAATTTCGTTAAGACTCTACTCTAATTCTGCCAGCCATGATTTCCTAAATGCTAGCCAAAATAAAACCACTTGCAAATGCTTCAAGTAATCTAGAACCAAATTAATCTTACCCGAAGCAAATAGTCTAATTTATCAAGGAGCAGAACCATCATTCTTGCATCCTCCACAGCATTAAGACCAGGATCCATTAATGCAGCAGCTTCAAATCCAGTAAGGGCCCTCTCGTAATTCTCCAGATATTTGTTCACCTTTAAGAATCAAATAAGATCCATCCAAGCATTTATTGTAAAAAATATGGAGAGGCAAATGAAGACAACATTTAATACATCATTGTGTATGCAGACTTTAGATTTAAAAAAGAAGAAAGGTAAATTTCTTTAGATAGGCTCCATATCTTGCATACAATGCTCAAGCGAAAAGAAGAAGAAGATAGGATGAGTATACGGACAGGAAAAGCTTTGTAAAGGTGGTAGATCTTAACAAATCATATTCTAACCACAAAGAGAAGAAGAAAAAACATGAAGAGAGAGTTAATAGCCACCAATTCAGTAGGAAAAGGGACTAGTTCAATGTTTGACAATTTTTTTTAATTACCAAAGTAAGCATTTGAAGTTGCAGACTTATGCTTTCTGATGGATTATCTTGAAACTACAGCAATTACACACCCATTGATATTTGCATATATTGAGAAAATCATTTAAAGGGATTTTTAAAAATATTCTCTCTTTAAGATGCCGACATGATTCCTACAGTGAAAAAGGTAATAGGATTTCAAGAAGGAAAAAAAGAAGGGATTAATGAGGTGAAATCACATTCACTTTTGCTCATCAGATAACTTTTACTATTCTTCACTCCAAAGCTCTAGTGTGTTCTGTAAATCGACAATTCTCTTTGCTCATGAAGTTCCTGCATCAACCAACTTCTGTCTTTATTGTAAAGTTTCCCGCACACTTCTCCCAAATGAACATTTCATTCCTTGGATTTTGAGATTCAATATACGCCCTTTCTTTTCTTTCTTTTTTTCTCCTAACCAGTTCAGTATACATTCTACTGATAAATCTCAAATGCAAATAGAACCATGGTCATAGAGAGGCATTGATGCCACCATTAGAATGAATCAACGGGGTACTTCTGATAGGTGGAAGAAGCAGAATTAAAAATGAAGAAAAATCTAGAAAAGAGAGATGAAATTATATCCCTTATTTTCTGCAGACTGAAGCTGACCAAGTGATACAGGTTTCTCAACTTGTACAATCTCATCAAGGGACACTTTCCCATCTAATTTTCTTATTCTTTAGTTTTCCTTTTCTTGGTGAACCAGTTATAGTAATGATAATAGCAATATAATTATAAACATGAGGCAATCAGTGGCAACCACAACCAAACTTCTAACAGAAAACAAGTGAGTCAAGAAAGGCCATTTTTGCTATAATGTTTCTGAGATGTTCTCAAAGAATCTCATACTAAGTTTTTTGGTAAGGTAAATAATTTCATTAAAAGAAGGGGAGAACCCCGTATACAAGCTGTATACCAAAAAGGGAGAACCTACACCAAGATATGGTTCTCAACGAAGGACACTAATTCATCCAATAGAAAAAGGAACCTCATAGGTACACCAAAAAGAAACTAGACACAAAAGACTATTTTGCAACTTTACGAAGTCTAGCTCAACTGCTTCAAAAGCTCCCATACTAAGTTATTATATCACGGAATAAATCAGAAGGGAGGATTGGTTATAAGCCTTACAGTGGCGCAGTTGTAATACAGATCAGGGTTTGACTTCATTTTTTCATCTCTTTCCTGAAAAGGGTCCCAGAATTAGAAGAGGTTCCGAGTTTATAAAGAAAACATGGAACATAACAGGCTTAGAAGAATCAACACACTGCTGATAAATCTGAACGTCATGAGAAAGATGATAAGAGGGCAGGTGCAGACTCCAAGAGACGCATTTTAAGAGAAGCTTTATACAGAAGTCAAATTGACAAATGCATACTTACAGCATTCTGGTACGCTTTTAATGACTGTAGAAGCTTATTGTGATCCCATGCTCCAGTCACAAAAAAAGAAGTGAGAAATGCATTTCCTAGGTTATCTGTCAAAAAAGATGGGAGCTATACTAGTCAAAAAAGAAAAGGAAGACGAGAACTCATTGAAGAAATTTGAATTTGGATGCATAAAGTGCGGGTTATGGTCCATCTATCAGGAGATAGATGGATATGAGTATAGCAGAACTTAGCAGCACAGGTGAAAAGTGAAGCGTAGCATGCACTAAAGTACAAGTACTAAATTTATTTAGTTGCTATGCCTTGATCATTGAGTGCTTACAGAAATTAACTTTTACTTCTAAATTAAAGCATGCTTTAGATAAAGACAAACATCGACTCAATTTCATTGACAAGTACTAGGTAAAAGGATAATAAAGAAGCAAATAGAGATTAAGTAAAGAATGTTCATAACAACATATCAAGGGATGTCAGAGCTAAGTAATTGAGGAAGTGTCTCCTTTAACTAGAGTCCATCCGCAATCTTACACCAAGAATATCCATCCTTGACATCCAAAGTGATCGCTTCCCTGGCATGTTTAATACTTTCATCAACAACTTCTTCTGGATTTTCAGCATCTGCAAAGTAAACATAAAATCAGAAGAGCAGAGTAGAATCAGCCTCTCAGGAAAAAGAATGTCAGGAGAGATGTGAACTTTTCTTCATAAGCGAATAATTTAAATATAGAAAAGAAAACTTAAATATACATTCTTCAAAATTAAGATAATACTCTAAAAGGTAGGATTCATGAAGTAGACTGTTACTTGTACTAGAACACAATACTTTCCCTTTGCACACAGTGTATCTGACCAATCCATGTTGCCATGAACACATCAGTAAGCATCTTTGTCTTGAATAAGATGCATCAGAAAGGACAACATAAGTTTCCCTTCTGGTCCTTCAGAACCAAACTTTTTGCAATGGCTGCAAATCATCAGTAGAGCTACTTGTCTAAAGGGGGAAAATAAAGGAGTGAACTAACAGTTAAAAACAGGCATAGTTTCCTTCCCTTTCATAACAGGCGGTTTAAGATTTGTAAACGTCTAAACAATTGTTTGGTGAGTTTTAAATACTCAAATAACATTTGAAATTAGAGAAAATGTTTACATTGTAATGAAAGGGGAAACCTTGTTTGTGATCATTCTTTCAGACATCCCTCAATTAAATGAAGAGGCACTTGATTTCACTATTACTGTGACAGCCATTCACGAACATCTAGGATACAAGGAAGAACGCACAGGGTTTTATATAATAAGCTACATTGAAAATAAGATCTCCCAATCATTAAAGTTTTTCTAGAATCAACATTTCAACCAGCTCCATTATAGCATTCTGCAAAGTAATGTCTTTACTGACCAGTATATTGAATAAACTGGAAATTTCTGTTTAGATTTTCCACTATCCAGCCACTTATAAAACCACAAACTGATATTTCTGACATCACCTACTCTCAATTTGACTTTGTCAACAAATTAATTTTACAAGTTTCCATTTGCCTCCATAAAACAACCCCATAAAGTGCAAATAGAGGACTCAAATTTAAGGCTTGAAAGACATCGTCATTATCTTGGATGCCTCAATTCTATAGTCATCAGGTGAGTGATATTTGTGGGTTTCCCGGCAAATTACACGAGTCCGACAACACTAGCTTGAGTTTCTAGTTTTCTACTTTGAGTTTAATGTTCCTAGTACAATGACATGTCACCATCTTTGGAAAGGGAGAATTCTAGTCTACCATTTGTTTAAGGCTAAATAATGCAATGTAGGTCATTCAGTTTAAAGTTTTTCATGGTTGTACCCAACTTCATTAGATTGGATCACTCAGTTAAAGAAAGCCTTAATATGGTTACATTTCCTCCTATCTATTATTCAGTACTGGCATATATATGTACGTATGATGCTCATTAGGCACAAAAAAAGAACATAGCATATATCAATATTCACCTTGAGCCAGTTTTCTTTCGAGCATTGATAGTTGACATAGAATATTCTTATTTGGACCCTGAAAACATAACAAATTGAAGATATCTATCAAAAAATGTAGACCTTTTATAAAAGACTTTACTATTGAAATCATTATAACCAAAGCAATAGCAGCATAAATGACCTTGCTAAGGGCAAATGTAAAGCAGTTTTTTGCTGCATTTAAATCTCCTTTCTTCCAAATGCAGTTACCTAGGCAGAGCCAAGCATCAACAAGAGACGGATTCAACTTAACCTAAAAGGCAACAAATCAAAAACATCTCAAATAAGAATGCTACAAGCTAACTGGCAAAGCATATTATTGTGATATAGAATAGCACATGTATTAATTTGTCACGTGTCTTTTCTGTTAGGTGACAGCTGATAGTGAGCTGTCCAATAGTTAGTTGCTTAATTTAAAGTTAGTTGGATAGCTTAGGTGTATAAATGTACCGACTATCATCTTCAATAAAAAAACAGTGATTCATTTCTTCTTCAGCCGACTCTCTCTCTCTCAACTTCTGCCATTGTTACACCTCCAAATCTCTTGCATTTTAGCATGGTATCAGAGCGGGAGATACTGGAATCTCACGCTGTGACACTCTCAAACTGGTTGCTGGCCTAGATCTCTCAATTTCGTTTGATCAATTACTGCTATTGACACGATAATGGGAGAGAACACAATTGACCACACACATCCCCAGTTTTTGGGTCCTTCAGACACTCCAAGCTCTGTATCGATTCCGGTAAAACTCACTGGATCGGAAAACTATGGGTTATGGAGTAGGTCGATGAGGATTGCACTTTTGGGGAAGAGGAAGCTAGGGTTTGTGACCGGCACATGCAAAAAGGAATCCTACAAAACAGCTGATTTACATGAGCAATGGGAGACCTGTAATGCTATTGTTTTGTCATGGATCATGAACAATGTGTGTGAGGAGCTTCTTGGTAGCATTGTGTATGCATCAGATGCTCATCCCGTTTGGGAGGATCTACGGGAGAGATTCGATAAGGTCAATCGAGTAAGAATTTTTCAATTGCATCGTGAAATTGCAACTCTCTCACAGGGAACTAGCTCAGTTTCAATCTATTTCACAAAATTAAAGAAACTTTGGCATGAGTATGATGTGTTATTCCCTTTCTCTAATTGTGGATGCCCTAAGTCTAAGGAAAATATGGAACAACTACATCAACAACGAGTTATGCAATTTCTCAGCGGATTGAATGAGTCCTATGATCAGGTGAGAAGACAAATTCTCATGAAGACAACTGCACCTATGCTAAATCAGGCCTATGCAATGATTGTACAGGATGAAAGTCAGCAGAGCGTGGGTGCTAATGTTGTGACTGACAGAGGTGATCTTTCTTTGGCTATGCAAGCAACAGGCAGGGGACAAGGATTTCGAGGCAAAAGGCAATTTCTGCAATGTGAGCACGGCCGGATGAAGGGTCACACCAAGGAGAATTGTTACAAAATCATTGGCTATCCATCAGATTTTGTTCCAAAGAAGAAGCAGGGTACAGGGAACTCTGACAACTGGAGAAATACTGGTAATAGGAATCAAAATCATGCTGGAGGAAGGCCAGATAATTGGAGGAGAGAACCCCTTGCAGCTGTGAATCAAGCAGATGTTGGATCATGCTCTCAAGTAGATGGACATGGACAGACAACAGCTGAGAACAAGGGATACTACTTCACTGATGCACAGTACAATCAAATTCTGAATTTACTAAACAAAGATTCTGGTGACCACCAGGCTAACATGGCAGGTAATGTTACTTGCTTGATGTCTAATTCCAACCAGAAAGAAGAGGAGTGGATTGTTGACTCAGGAGCAACTCATCATATTGCTTCTAAATTAGAGCTGTTAACTAACACTAGAGCTACAGACAAGTCTAACAATGATAGAGTACATCTACCTACAGGGGGAAGGGCTGATATCACACATACTGGTAGTGCATGTTGGATAAAGAAACTGTGAAAAATGTCCTTTATGTACCTGATTTTAGGTTGAACCTATTATCAGTCTCAAAGCTCACAAGAGCATTGTCTTGCAATGTCAACTTCTTTCCTGATTTATGTGTATTTCAGGACCTCTGCAATGGCAGGGTGAAGGGGATTGGTATAGAGAGAGGTGGATTATATGTGCTTAGAGATGGAAGATTAACTAACAAGCTGAAGGCCATTTGTGCAATGAATAGACTATGTGGAGGAACCAGCAGCCTATGGCACATGAGACTGGGACATCCTTCATTGTCAACTATGAAGAATATAAAGGAGTTACATAGCTATGTTAGTAGTATAGCAGAGAATAATTGCTTTGTTTGCCCCTTAGCAAAACAGACTAGGTTGAAATTCCCACTTAGTGATTCTAGAGCTGATGCATTGTTTCATCTTGTACACATGGATCTTTGGGGCCCTTATAAGGTTCCTACATTCGATAACAAGTATTACTTCCTAACTATTATGGATGATCACTCTAGATACACATGGGTACATTTTTTGCAACTAAAGTCTGAAGTGATAGTAGCAATAAAACAGTTTCTAAACATGGTTCAAAATCAATTTGGAGTCATGATTAAAGTACTGAGATCAGATAATGGGACTGAATTCTTTAACTCACAATGTACAGCTTTGTTGAGTAATCTTGGCATAATTCATCAGAATAGTTGTCCTTATTCTCCTCAACATAATGGTATAGTAGAAAGGAAGCATATGTATATTCTTGATACTGCTAGGGCCTTGAAATTTCAGGGGTCCATTCCTATGAAGTATTGGGGCATGTGTGTAAAGGCTGCAGTGTATTTGATAAATAGGTTACCATCCAGCATTCTAGGGGGCAAGGTACCTTTTGAGTTACTACATTGTAGGAAGGCTTCTCTCCTTCATCTAAGGGTTATAGGTTGTCTATGTTACGCAACAAATCTGCCAAGGGAGACAAATTTGCTGAGAGAGCCAAGGAAGCAGTTTTGATGGGATACTCTGAAACAGAAGGGATATATACTTCTGGATTTACAAACTAGACACTTCTTTACTAGCAGGGATGTTATTTTCTGGGAATCTGAGTTTCCTTTTGCCAAAGGAAGCACTAATATGAGCAAGGAATCTGAATTGTTTATGTCTTCTCCTCTACATATGAAGATATCAAATTACAGTAGTACTCCTTGTGGGTCAAACTTACCAGAAACAACAGCAGGTGTAGATCACATAGATGCAGAAGATGATACACAACATGAAGTTGAGGGGGCAAGTTCTGATGGTTCTAATGCAGCATTCCAGGATGCAGAGGCTCAGAATGAGTTGCACCCTGAAATGCAGCAATCACTTGAAGAAGAAAATGAAAATGTACCACCAAACACAGGCAGGAAATCTTCAAAACAGACCAAGGAGCCACTGTGGATGAAAGATTACATCACTACAAAGAAGGCTGCTACCTGCAATTATCCAATTTCAAACTATTTGTCTTATGACAAAATATCGTCCAGTTATCAGTGTTATTTGGCCAAGTTCTCTCAACAGGTTGAGCCACAGTCCTTCAAAGAAGCTGTCAAGGACAGTAGATGGATTGAGGCTATGAAGCAGGAGATAAAGCCTTTGGAAGATAACAAAACACGGTGCATAGTTGATTTGCCAGAGGGTAAAAATACAGTAGGCTCAAAATGGGTATATAAGATTAAGTATAAAGCAGATGGGGACATTGAGAGATATAAGGCAAGGCTAGTGGCTAAGGAGTATAGTCAAAGAGAAGATTGGACTATCATGACACTTTCTCTCCAGTGGCAAAGATGGTCACTGTGAGGTCAATCATAGCACTTGCTGCTTCAAAGGGGTGGAACCTGTTCCAAATGGATGTATACAATGCCTTCTTGCAAGGTGATTTGTATGAGAAAGTTCATATGGAATTGACTGAGGGATTTAGACAACAAGGTGACAGGAAAGTTTGCAAGTTAATGAAGTCCTTATATGGGCTTAAACAAGCCTCAAGACAGTGGAACATCAAGCTAACAGAAGCACTCTTAAGTGCAGGCTTTGTTCAAAGCAATAATGACTATTCCCTATTCACTCTGAGGAGCCAGGAAGAGGTAGTGATTGTCCTAGTCTATGTGGATGATCTTCTTATCACAGGAAGCAGTGCAAGCCTGATTAAACAGGCCAAGGATATCCTACACCAGAAGTTCAAAGTCAAGGACTTAGGAGAACTTAAGTACTTCTTGGGAATTGAAGTACTAAGATACAACGCTGGCATTTTGTTGAACCAGAGGAAATATGTACTGCAACTCATCTCAGAGATAGGGGTTAAGTGGGGCTAAGCCTGCTTGCACACATTTGGAGGCTAATGCAAAATTCACTTCAGTGGAATATAATCAGGCAAATGGAGTCAAGGATGATTCCCAATTGCAGGACATCAGTGCCTATCAAAGGCTAGTTGGAAAGATGCTATATGTCACCATTACAAGACCTGGCATCAATTATGCTGTGCAAACCTTGAGTCAGTTCATGCAAAGGCTCAAGAAGTCTCATTGGGATGCTGCAGTTAGAGTTGTAAGGTACTTAAAGGGTGCACCAGGACCGGGAATCTTAATGGCTTCTAATCACACAGGGGAGTTAACATGCTGGTGTGATTCAGACTGGGCAGCATGTCCCAACACAAGAAGGTCAGTTACTGGTTATTTGATAAAGTTTGGAAGTTCCTTGGTGTCTTGGAAATCAAAGAAACAACAAATTGTGTCAAGGAGCTCAGCTGAAGCTGAGTACAGAAGCATGGCTGCTGCAACTGCTGAGATCATATGGTTACTTGGTTTGTTTAAAGAGTTGGGTGTGAAGATTACACAACCAGTGACAATCGTTAGTGATAGTAAGTCTGCTATTCAGATTGCAGCAAATCCCGTACTACATGAACGGACAAAACACATAGAAATCGATTGTCATTTCATTAGAGACAAGATCAAAGAAGGGGTAGTTCAAGTAGTACATGTGAACACAAAGGAGCAGCAGGCTGATTTGCTAACCAAAGGCTTAGGAACTGCTCAACATGTGCATCTACTTGACAAGCTTGGAGTGCTAAACATTCTACACCCTCCAGCTTGAGGGGCATATTGTGATATAGAATAGCACATGTATTAATTAGTCACGTGTCTTTTCTGTTAGGTGACAGCTGTTAGTGAGTTGTCCAATAGTTAGTTGCTTAATTTAAAGTTAGTTGGATAGCTTAGGTGTATAAATGTACCGACTATCATCTTCAATAAAAAAACAGTGATTCATTTCTTCTTCAGCCGACTCTTTCTCTCTCAACTTCTGCCATTGTTACACCTCCAAATCTCTTGCATTTTAGCACATATACTATATATTTCAAGTTTTTCATAGCCGAAAAATCCCCGAGGGCCACTGGCACATGGTTTGAAACTCGGTGAATAACGAGTCCACCCCTCTACCCATACGGGCTTTTGGATGTGGCAGGGTTCGAACATGTGATGTGCGCGCGTCTAACCCACACAGCATCACAAGTCGCACTCTTACCACTAAACCAAAACCCTAGGAGCCTAAATGGCAGAGCATATTAGGGCATCAAATTAACATTCTAAATTTATCTTATTTACTCACTGCTTTGGACAAATGATCCTCTGCTTCTTTCTTATATACTGGAACTACATCAAGTACTTTGCCTCTTAAATACTCATAAGTTGCACGTTGAAGTGGCAATTTCCTCTTTTCTGCACAAATGTAACCACAAATCACAATAAGTTCAACGCACTTGGTAATAATTCACCGAAAAGTAGCTCAAACAATACAATTAGCCAGTTAGTTAGTTACCTATAGGGATAGTATCGAGGATTTGAAGAGCGAGATCAGATTGGGTTTGCAATTTGGAGACTCTCTCCTCCGGACTTAAGGGGAAATAGTTGTCGCGAAAGCTGTAAAGCTCATCGGCAGCTGCAGTTGCCTTGGCGAATAAATCCTCTCCGGCGACTTTTCCGGTCGAAATGCTCATTTCCGGCGATTCTGCTCGACGAAAAAGGATGCGAAAGTTGGACTACCGAAAGCTAGGTGTATTGATTTATCTCATCAGTAGATTTTTACACTTAATTTTGTTAAGTTAATACTCATTTAGTTACCAAATGAGTAAAACGTTTGGAATTTTTTTTGTCAAAAAATTAAGTTACCAAATTAGACTTATAATAAATAATTATATATAAAAGTCATTTTAGTCTAGTAGTAATTAAAAACAATACTCTCATGGATGATATAATCGTTAAAATAAATAATAAAACAAGAACGGATAATTCGAACTCGATTAAATTTAAATTTTGGCCTAAAAATTTGTGTAGACTATGGCAAGTAGGTCGGTCCAGGCTCGTAACTGGCTCGGGCCCGCGTACTAAGTGGGCTAGGAACCGTTTGGCCCGTCAAGAGACTGAGACCGGACCGGTCCCTTGACGGGCCAAACGGGCCCAACGGATATTTTTTTTAAATAGCCGTTTGGCTTTTGAAAAAAAAGAGATATTAGGGGTTTAAAAAATAGTCGTTGGCTATTTAAATAATAGCCATTTAACCCCACTAACTTAGTTTTAACCCCAAACTTTTTATAATTATATTTTTTTCTATTTTTATCTATAAATACCCACTCATTCTTTCATTTTCTTACAAAATTAATATCAATCTATCACAATCTCTCTCTAATTTTCTTCTATACTTGCTACTATTGCTTACTTTATTCCAAAAAAATAGTCAAAAAATATTGAGGTTGTTGTAATTTGTGAAAAAATTATGAAGTTAGTGGTATTAGCACCTTGTTTAGCCCATTCCATAGGGGGAGGAAGACTAAGAAAGATATTGCCATATTTTTTATTGCTATAATAAAATTACAAGGCATTGCTTTGAATATCTTTTTACAATATTATTATCTTTAAATTTGAATTAAAAAAATAGGTCACAATTCTATAATAAATTTATAAGGTATTGCCTTAGATATTATTTTAAGATCTTTTTGTCTCTAATTTCTATTTTTTTTAAAAAAAAAATCACTACTTAGCCGTTAGGCCCACTTAGCCCAGGACCATGAGTTCGTGGGTCCGATTCCGGTCCGGTTCCTACAAAAAGACCGTTTAGCCCATTTATTTAAAGTCCGAAACCGGCCTGGGACCGCGGCCCACTAGGTCCGTTTAGGGCCCGACTCACTTGCCACCCCTAGTCTGGACACATACTTCGTGAAATGGTTCGTGCATGTTTGTTGCCAGAAGCAACAAGATCAAGTTGATAAGGATTAAATCTTCATTTTTAATTCTATGGTAAATGATCATAGAAGCTCATTTACCATTTCTAATCTATTTGTACAAATAGAAGATAACCATGACTGATGCGCCTAATGGACGTCAAATGGTTAATATTATTCCTTCTGGACCAGAACTTACTTGTTTCTGAGTGCGAATCTATCAAATTTGATCAACTACTAATGAGTAATGCTGAGCCCGTTTGGATTGACTTTTAAGCACTTTTTGGAGTGTTTGGCAAAAGAAAAAGCTACTTAAAAAGTTAAAAAGTGCTTTAAAAAATAAACAAAAGTCGTGACCCTAACTTCTCCATTTTTTAGCTTAAAAGCCATTTTGTTTTGCCCAATAAAATTACTTATTTGTCCCTTATAACTTTTATTAATTCAAAATTGCCCTCATAAAAAACCTAAAAGAAGAATTTCTCCACTTTTGAAGACTCCGCTTATCTCTTTTCCTCTTCATCTCTTTTATCTTCAATTTTTTATATTTTCACTCTTTTTTCCAGTGAAAATCGATCCTTGCTATAAGTTTATTCTTATGTCCTTATTTAGCTTGTTACATATTTTTTTCTTTATGTTCTCCAGACGATACATATCTAAGATATTCCAAGGAATTTTTCATTGGTACTTAAATTTTTTTTTTTGTTGGTGGATTATGAACATTCTTCCCTTGTAGCAATTGTAGACATTAAAATACACTAATAGTTGATATTGGGGTTGTCTTTATTGAACCTTGTATTCTACGGCAAAAATTAATTTAGGTTATTCTATATATTTGTTAGATTAACGAAATACTATCTCGAATGATTGTAGTTGAGGTTTAGGTACCGTAATTTAAGCTTGAGGTGACACTACTAGAAAATATCAAATTTCTGACCATTAAATCGGTCGAAAAAAGATGGTCGTAAAACATTTTCGACTGAATCGGTCGAAACCTTCCGACCGTTTTGGTCGCAACAAGGAAATGTGCAGTTGACCGAAGAAAATTAAGGTTTGCGACCGTTTTGGTCGGTAATTTTGCGACTGATTCTGTCGTACAATTAACAATAAAAATTAAATAAATAAATAATGTTCCGACCGATTTGATCGGTACTTTAAGTAATTAATAATTATTTTATTCAAATGTTTCGACCGAATCGGTCGAAAATTAAAAAATAATAAAATAATTAATTAAATATTGTGACCACTTCAGTCGCAAAACTAAGAATTTTCAAGTCCAGTTACCGACCAAAGTGGTCGGAAATCAGTCGCAAATTTTGGTAAAATACAATAGAATTCTGCTGTATTTTAAGCTACACCCCCTGCCAAATCAAACAACCAATATACAATAGCCAATATCACAAATGCTCAACCAATTGAGCCAAAAACATCAAGTATCAAACTAATTTAAACATAACAAAATTATTTAACAAGTGTAAATTATATTAAACCACATCAAAATGTGAAGCTTTCCACCAAAATGACATGCAACCAAGTCTAAAACGAACAAAGTAGAAACCAATCAAGTCCAAATATCCTATTATACATTTTAAATTATTACCGATCCTCATCGGGTTCAGTCTCCTCATTGTTAGATTCTTTCATTGTACATTAGTTTTCATGTTTTTCCATGAATGTCCGCATCATACTTATTATTTCTTGAGCATTGTTCCATTGTTGCGACAATTCATTGATTTGCGTCCGCATAGTCTCAGTTTCTCCGGGTGAAGTAGAAGCACCACTAAATAATGCGGCTGGATGACTAGACGACGGCTGCGTTCCAAGTTCGTAGACTCTATCTTTATTTATTTTCATGAAAAATAAAAAACAAATACAGTTAAATGAGCAAGGGAATAAACATACAACTTGTGCAAAATAATATTAAAACGAATATTACTAAAAAAATTCTATACCTCTATTTACTCCACCGACCATTTCGAAGTCATATCTTCAGGCGTCGGTTGAGAATCGGGCTAAGTTGTTGCCATTTCTCCATTCTTCTTTGATACCCTTCCTGAAATATAAATGATAAGCATCATATAAATAAATTAATCTTAACTTCTCCTCCTCCTCCTCCTCCTCCTCCTCCTNTATGTCTCCTCAAAGACAGTAGCATGAGACATATTTCCCCCATGTGCCTTTTCGTGTCAAAATTAAAAATATGAGTTTATTACTTGAATCTCATATAAGTAAAGTTAAGTAAAATTTTATAAATAAATTACCAATCTCAATCGATGGGCCGCAAAATTAATTGAACCTCCGATGTGCAACGGTCCACCTTACTGGATGCTCTGTTTGCCTTAGATTTTTCACTCTTTTGCTTTCATTAATTGGTGTTCTACTTCTCCAATAGTTGAAGCCAAACATCTTGACGCAACCATTCGGGCTTGCTCCACCTTTCCGAGCAACAAAATGAGTATCTTTAATCCTTTTCTAAGCTCTTTTCTCGAAATTAGCATTCACCTGAATTTTATGATGAGGCTGCCATACACACTTAGTCTGCAATTAAAATAAAAGTTAGACGAACACAATAAATATTATATAAATTATATTTATCCGTACCTTAAATTGAAGCCACATTGTATTTACTTTGATCTGGTATGGTATCTCTCTCCAGGAATTCCACGGCTCATGAAAAATGGCTTCATAGATTCTACAACCACATGTGTGGCCTGAAAGGATGGCAAAAATCTGCATTATATGTAAAATAAACATTCGTTAAATCTATGTAGATCTTTATTCTAACAATTAAAAATAAAAAATTACTTACTCGTCCCCATGGGGTACGATAATCAATCGATGCAAATGATCATACTCTACAGTCCCACCAGCATACTGTCTTCGTAAAGGAGCAACTAAAGAAGTACTAGTATATGGGGATGCAACTATCTGAAAGCCTCCAATATCCAGGAATTCCACGGCTCATGAAAAATGGCTTCATAAATTCCACAAATATATGTGTGGCCTAAAAGGATGGCAAAAATCTGCATTATATGTAAAATAAACATTCGTTAAATCTATGTAGATCTTTATTCTAACAATTAAAAATAAAAAATTACTTACCCGTCCCCATGGGGTACGATAATCAACCGTTGCAAATGATCATACTCTACAGTCCCACCAGTATACTGTCTTCATAAAGGAGCAACTGAAGAAGTGCTAGTAGATGGGAATGCAGCTATCTGAAAGCCTCAAATATCCAGTCTAGATACACTAGGAGTAGATGATAATGGAGTAGACAATGATGGAGGTACAAAAGATGAACCATCATACTGACTGTAATAGCCGTCCGGGGATAGAATCAATAGTGAGCCACCATGTTGACTAGTAGGGGCACGATGACTCAAAGGTGGCAAAGAAGGTGTGGGCATAAAATTAATGGTAGTGGAGGCTGAATTAACATTGGTCGGCATGAAATAATACTGTCATGTGCTAGACGGGAGGGGGGTGGGAGGGCTCTGAAAATCTCAGGTGGTAATGAAGTCGACCAAGAAGGACGAGAAAAACTAGGAGGAGGACTCATACTAGGCATATGTGAAGGAATGTGGTCACTTGTAGATGGCAAGGTATTTTTTTTCTTAGATTATTTTGGTTCTTTACCCTTAGAAGCCATTTGTGCTATTTAAATAAAACAAATATATTAATAAAAATTAATATGTAATAATATAAAGCAATTCTTCTATATATTAATACGATTTAAGGAAGAACATATAAAAACACCAAAAATAAAACAATAACATAAGGAATAACATAATAAATCAAACAAGTCATAAACACACAAACAACTCAATCCTCATCGCTTTTTTTTATTTTCATTATATAATTCTTCATCCTCGCTTGCTTCATATTTATCACTTGAATCTCCGTCGTCGTTTTCCATGGACGTTCCTTACTTATACTCACTTTGATTTGATCTAAGGATTGAAGGATCGAATTCTTCATAAAGGCCTTCACTATCATGCAATTCACATGCTAGTTCATCATCTACCATTACTTCAACACTTGAAATGTCATTCTGGTATGCTACATCTAATGCGTCCTCGACCTCAACTCTACCCACATACTTTATCACTACCCGCCATACAACCTTCTTCTTGCACAAATGATAAATACACTTGTTTCACATTTTGTGCAATGATAAATGGGTCATAGAGTCTATACCTCCACGTATGCTTTATTTCAACTATTTTATACAGAGGATGCACCTTTGTACCTCTAGTAGGTATTGGATCATACCACTGACACTGAAAGAGTACTAACTTTTTCTTCGGCCAACCAACACTATACTCGAGTTCTAATATCTCTTGAAGCACACCATAATAATCAATATCACCATCACCTTTCACACACACGCTGCTATTATTTGTTTTTTTACCCTTGGACCATTCTTCTATATGAAACTTGTACCCATTGACGGAGTACTTAGAAATCATTCTAACTTTAGGATTAGGTTCCCAAGCAATGTCACGTGAAAATGGATCATTTACGGCATTATCTGAATTATGAACCTAGAGTGAACCTAATAACAGTTAGAATTTAAAAAGTACGTACAACTAATAATAATTTGCATTGAAACAAACTTCGCTAATACTTACAAAGTGTTTAAACCATTATGCAAACTTAGAATAAACATGCTCATGCCCATATGTACCCACAAACCAACTGTCCGATATATTTGAAACTTTTATTAGTTAAAATGATTGATAATTGATCTTGAATGTAAGTCGGCAATATAAATGTACACTTACATATAATAAGGTTGGACCTCAGGATAATTTTGTAGAACATGTGTTGTAGCTGACTTTAACTCAATATTAGTCAAAAATTATGTTGGACTATGTTTTGGTCCGCCTTTTCCAGGTTGATTGAATATGGAAAAAAATGGTGCCAATGGATCGGTGTTGCCTCCATCATCATGTCTATTTCTTAAACATGGAACATCATGTTCAAAATAATATGAACAGAAATAAGAAGTTTCTCTAGCCAGATATGCCTCACATATTGATCCCTCAATCCTTGATCTATTTTTCACGATACGCTTACATTTGTCAATCATCCTGCATATCATAATTTTAAGATGAAATAATATTTAACTAAAACAAGTAAGGATAATCGATTAAAGATAATTACCTCTCGAAGGGATACATCCATCTATATTGAACTGGCCCTCCTAGCCGTGCTTCTTGCGCAAGGTGAATTGGAAGATGTTTCATGATATCGAACAAATCAAGCGGGAAATTTTTTGCCAACTTGTTTAAAGTTAAGTGAATGTTACTGTCCATATAAGCTAGGTTCTCTGCCCTCAATGTGCTAGAGCACAACTCCTTGAAATATAAGCACATCTCTGTGATGGGCTTCCATATTCTATTAGGCAAATCATTGAATGCAATAGGCATCAAAGATTTCATGAAAATGTGACAATTGTGGCTTTTCATAGACGTCAACTTCCCTTATTTCATGTCAACACACCTAGATAAGCTTGACGCATATCCATCAGGCATACTCAAATTATTAACCCAATCACAAATCTCTCTTCTCTCATCCAAAGTAAATGTGTAACTGGCCTTAGGCTTCTGAATCTTGTTGTTCAAGTATGTCAAGTACAACTCACTTCGCCTATAGTATTCTTTCAAATTCATCGTGGCCTTAATGTCAATTCTCTAATACCTTATTAACATGGGTAAACCCTCCAAATCAATAGATATTCGATTGGGACATAATTGTTGAGAAAAGAAACCTTAGAACTCGAGTTCAAGTGGATTCAACGTCAAAAGGTAATATCTTCACCCTCTAATTGATTATAGCATTGGATTAATGACTATAGACTCTAAGTTCATGAGATATGAGTTGATGGGTTTGATAGAAAATCATGAACGGTTATAGGTTTGGGTTGTTGATTATTGATTAAAGGTGTTGTTTATCTTATGGGTGAGGAAGAATGATATTGATTATAGCAATTTGAGATTTTAGAATGATCTAAGAGCAAGAGAATGGGTTGTTGGGAGTACAAACACCATTAATGAGGGTTATGAGACTTTACGCGCATAAGGTGTTTGATAAAATACCTAAGTGACCAAACATGAGTATTATTGCTAATATTGAATCCCTTTGACTTGTATTGATATAGATTAAAGTTGAAAGGGTCGGCGAACGTTGTATTACGCTCAAGAGCAGGAAGTTAAGGTATGTGAGGCTAACTCTTTATGTTTGGGAATGTTAATGATTCTCCCTATACTATGTTTCTTTTACAACGTTACTAATTGCCTTATAAATATAGTTAAGCCTAGTTCCTTGAATAGTTGCAGAACTTCTATTCTCTAGCTTCATAACTCGTTCATGACTTTCATTCTGAACGTTGTGAACTCAGTCCGTAATCAATATAGACTTGAGTTTGATGCCCATGAATCTCAGTCTAGATTACTCAACACATCATAAACAGTTGAAGTTTTAGTTTTCATAATCAGTTCATGAATACATGTCTCAATCTAGTCCTATTCAGCATTCACGTATCATGTAACTCAGTATGATTCAGTATTTCAGCATCACGTATTGCAGTATGATTTTCAGTTCCTGAATTTAAATTCTTGAATGTTGAATACCTGTATTTGGGCATGAGACTATAGTTTATGCTTTATGCATGTTTGGACCTAAGGCCACGGTTTATGCTTTATGCATCTTTAGGCCCGAGGCTGCAATTTATTTATTTAGATAAACAGGTGGTTCATCATTTAGAAAAGGGAGTATTCATATTCTTACTTCCTTTATTCAGTTTAGTTATCAGTTATCAATTCAGTTTCAGTTTCAGATTTTATAGTTCTTTTTTTCAGTTGCTTTACATACCAGTGTAATTCAAATGTACTGACGTTCATTTTGTCCGGGGCTTGCATCTCACGATATATGTAATGATTTACATGTTGACGATCTATAGTGTTAGGATTCTCGTACCAGCTATTAGGTGAGCCCCAGTTCTTTCGGGGCATTACCATTACTTTACAGTCTTTCGGTATTTAAAAACAGTCAGTATTTTCAGTACTTCATTAGAGACTTCATAAACTAGAGTAATAGTTAGATAGCGTCGCATGCTTTTCATGTTAAGCAATATTGACTACAAATATATTTTAAACTTATATTAATATTTCCGAACTTTGATTAATATCATTCGGACTTTTAGTATATCAACATGTATTAGTTTATCTTTCATATTAAGTATGTTATGATAATAAATATTGATTCATCCAGCCAGTTGATTCGCTCGGTCACATGTAGCCAGGCACCGGGTGCCGTGTCATGTCCAGGCCCAGGTTCGGGGTGTGACAAGGAGTTTGTTGTTTCTATCCTAGTACTCTAGCCTCTTATTCAGTTGTAATTCATGAGCTCATATATTTATGTCCTAATACTCTAGCCTCTTATTCAATTATAATTCATGAGCTCTTATCCATTTTTGAATCTTGAATCTTAGACGAGAGCTTCAAAAATGTATAGTTCTACTGAGTGGATGTTGCTACTGTACTAATCATCTTATTATACCTTTTTTGCAGATTCTCAAAGTCCAATAGAACATATTGAGGAAAGCTTAAACCATGCTAAAAAAACTGTCGAAGTGGAGAACTTTGATGGATTTTCCTAGTGTAAGAGATCATGGGATCTATAGTTTAGTATTACTACTTTACTCACTATATAAATGCAAACTAAACCAATGTAATCCTCTTTATAGATATTCTAGGACGTGCCGAGTTTGTTGCATTTTCTCAGAATGGAGAATGGGATCTGACTAAACTTCAAGCCTCATTAAATGCATACGAGCTAGCGTTGAGTTTCAACTTTCTGGTTAACACATCTACCGTTATCAGCTTGTTTCTGCGTCAACATCTACTTCAGTAATTTTCTATCCTATTTCAGATACGAGATGAAGAAATGGAAATATACCCTGATCTGATATACGACTATGCCTTAGTAAGGCTATTAACTAATTTTTCACTTTTGAATTGTTACATCTGCTAATTAATCCAGCTACATTGACATTTGTGTTTCAGGTGCATTCCTTTTTTGGGAAACTATGAGTTAACCCTTAAGGGATTTGAAAATTGTAGATGGATGGATCCTCCACTGGAAGCAACAAATAATAGGAATACGATGATTAGACTGCTTAAAAAACTAGAAGAATTGATTAAGGTAGGTTATTAATCTAGAAGAATTGATATTTGGATTCTAATGGCATCATTAAAAGATGCAGCTGAATTATTTGATTTCATTTTTCAGGGCAAGAGTAAGGGAATGAGTAAGCGCAAGAGTGGAGAAACGAGCTTGCCTTCCTCCACATCATCACTCATGGATGTCAATTGTATGGATGTACATTCATTATAGTTATTTAGTTGAAAGTTATTAGCTATTTATTCATGAATTGAGCTAAATTGCTTTCATGCAGTGAAACCTTCATATAAAAAAATGAACTTGGATCTCTTATCTGAGGGTTTTAACAAGGGAGTTGCAATCATAGGAAAAATTCTGTACTCAGTGAAGAGCGAGAAAAAGTTCCCTTTGTAAGTTATTTCGCCTTAGAAGAGCTAAAAGACTAACCTTCATCACTCATTGTTATCATTTCCTTGGAATTTGAAATTTCATAGGCTAACTTAGCCCACTTTATGCTACCATACTTTTTGCTAGCTTTTACTCTTATCTCAGATGCTATGCAATCTTTGATTCTGATGAGAAGCGTTTCATAGTTACACTGCATGGGATATGAAGTGAAGTAGTAAGTATAGTTTTAATGCTCTACTTCTAGTGTCTCTTGGCATATTTTTCTTGTAGATCTCAATTGATAATTTGGTCCTAATTATTATACGTCCTTGTGTAGTATCCTTGATATCCTAGTGTAAAGTTGCGTCAAGGATACTTCTAGATAAATATCAAGGATACTTCTAGAATTTTCTAGTGTAGTATCCTTGATATTTATCTAGTAGACACATCTAGATGTTCTAGAATGTTGTGGGAAGATAAGGTTATCTATTAGACACATCTAGATATTCTAGAGTATTGTGTGTAAGATAAGGTTAACTAGATTTTTCTCGTACATGTTCTAGAATATTATCTAGAACTATCCTTAGAGAAGTATAAATAGGGGTGGCCTTAGGCATTTGTAACTAAGCCAAAATCAAGAAAGCCTTTATTTCCTAAACAAGGTCTCCTAACTAAATTCTCTCTTCTCCTTTCAAGCTTCCTCTTCTTTAGTTGAATCTTTCAATTTTAGTTAACGATCTTGGGCTGGAAGAAGGTCTCTAATAATACCCTTTTGCTATTCTTTATATGGTATCAGAGCCATAGTTGGCTTCTAGATATAATTACAAGGTCGGGTTAGTGGTTGATTCAACTGGTTCTCTAAATGGATTTGGATGGTCGTGCTAATGGACTGGGATGGATTTATTGAACCAGTCCAACTACAAGGTATGTAAGACTTGAATGGAGTCATACCTTGTTAGTGAGGATTTATGGGAAGTTGTCGATGGGAGTAACACAAGTCCTCATGCTGATGCACCAAAAAATAGCAATGCGTGCAAGAAGTGGAAGCAGATTAATGCTAAGACAGAGTTTATCCTGAAGAGGTGTATCTCTCCTAATTTATTTGATCATATTATAAGGTGTAAATAAACTCATGAAATATGGAGGACCTTCGATCGACTATTCAACAAGAAGGATGACACATGGCTACAGATTTTGGAGAATGTATTGGCTAACACCACTCAAGGTAATCTCTCTATCACCGAGTATTTCTTGAAGGTTAAAAATCTATGTTTAGAAATTTCTCTATTGAATCCGGACTAGGCTATCTCTGAAGCACGAATAAGAAGAATTATTATTCGTGGCTTAAAGCTAGAATATATTCCCTTCGTTTCATTGATCCAAGAATGGGTTCAACAATCATCCTTGGAAGAATTTGAGAATCTGTTGTCATCACAGGAGCTACTAGCCAAACAGATGGTTGGTGTATCTGTTAAAGAAGGGGAAGGAAATGCTCTTGCTGTCGATAAGAGGAATTTTAAAGAGAAATCAAGAGATATCATGAACTCTCGATCTTCAAGTGGTTCAAGCTCGCCAGGAAAGAAGGGAGAGTCTTATAACGGTAAGAAGCAAATAAAATGTTACCGTTGTGGTAAAGTCGGACACATAAAAAGATATTATCGAGCCAAAGAGAGAAATATGGCTCAAACCAAGAAAGTTGCTGAAGAAGAAGAAAAAGAAGAAAACTGGGGAAAGTGCTTTGCAGCAGAGACTCGAGCAACAAATGCCATTGCTTCCATAAATTTTGAAAGAGACTGGATAGTGGATTCAGGATATGGGCACCACCTCATTGGAGATCAATCCAAATTCTCCATATTTTGTGAATACAATGGACACGATGTCATTGTTACAGCAGATAATACAGTCCATAATGTGGAGAAGAAAGGCATTGTTGTAATCAACGAGAAGTAAAAAGAAGCTATCACCCTCAACAATGTCTTTCATGTTCCAAGTATGAATAAAAATCTATTTTTACTTGCAAATGCTATAGATGCTGGAAACTATTTGCTATTTGGCTCACGTGATGTGAAGCTCCTCCGAATTATCAAGGTGCTCAAGGCAGATATCATTCACTCAGGTAACAGAGTTAATGATTTATATGTCTTATCTGCCTCTAATTCATATATTGAGAAGATGAGTAGCAATGATAACACACATCTTTAGCATGCTAGACTTGGACATCTTAGCATGGATAAATTAAAAGCCATGGTAAAATTGAATCTAGTAAAAGGATTACCTAACTTAATAAATTTTGGTGGAGGCGAGGTTTGTGAAGGATGTCAATATGGAAAGGCACATCGTCTTCAATTTGACAGATCCCTCTCAAAGTGCAATGCCCCACTAGAACTTATTCACAGTGACTTGATGGGGTCAACAAGAACTCTTTCATTCTCAGACTAGTATTATATGCTAATTTTCATTGATGATTTTACTAGATTCACTTGGGTTTATTTTGTGAAGCACTAGTAAAAAGTTTTCAATAAGTTTGTGGAGTTCAAACAAACAGTTGAAGGCGAACTAGTTTCTAGAATAAGGCGGCTGCAAACTGATAATGGCGGTGAGTTCACTTCAGATGAATTTCTTTCATTTTGTCATCAGCATGGCATTAAAAGAGAGATCACATGTGCTGATACGCCACAACAAAATGGATTGGCAGAAAGGAAGATCTGACACTTAACTGAGACATGTATGAGTTGGATTCATGCAAAGAATTTACCTAGAGACTTGTGGGCTGAAGGTATAAAATGTGCAGTGTATGTGATTAACATGATGTCGTTTTCTCCTAACAATATGAAGTCTAACCTATAAATTAATGTTTGGAGAAAATCCTAGCGTTAAACACCTCAGGGTTTTTGGCTCTATTTGTTATGTTCACATTTCGGATTTCAATGGAGCAAATTGGATGCCAAGGCAAGGAAATGAATCTTTGTCGAATATGATGAAAGAAAAAAGGAATGGAAGTGCATGGATCCTAAAACTAATCTCTTCGTTGTCTCAAGGGATGTCATATTCGACGAAGTGTCTTTCTATTATGGAGCTACGTTGGATGAAACGAGTTCAAAAACCTTGAATAATGGATCTTCAAGCTTGTATATTGCAGGTGCTTCTCTAGATGATGCAGCTGCCGAGGAGTTAAGAGAAAGGGGGAGCCCTGGACCTCAACAACATGAAACTCAACAAGAAGATAATTTATGTGGTTTGGGAAGACTAAAAAGAACTATTATCAAGCCAGCTCGCTTCAGAGATAAAAATTTTGTCAGTGCGTATTCCAGTTTCTTTGCAGGACCAATTGATGATGAAAAACCTTCCTCATTCGAAGAATCTAAAGGAGTCAAAGAGTGGGAGATTGCTATGGATGATAAAATAGAGGCTCTGATGAAAAATCAAACTTGGAGCCTTGTACCAATACCGAAAGGTGTACAATCCATTTCTTGTAAATGGGTTTACAAATCAAAAGAAGAGCAGATGGCATCATAGATAGATATAAAGAAAGGTTGGTTGCTCGAGGGTTTTCTCAAAATTATAGTGAAGATTATGAAGAAACCTTTAGTCCAGTGGCTAAGATGATCTCAGTCCGAGTTGTGCTAGCCTTGGCAGCCTCGCATAGTTGGAAGTTATGGAAACTTGACGTAAAGAATGCTTTCTTATGTGGAGAGCTTGACAAAGATATTTATATGGAGCAACCACCCGGGTATGCCTCTAACTTACATCCTGATTATGTCTGCAAACTTAAGAAGGCCCTTTATGGCCTCAAGCAAGCTCCACGAGCATGATATGAAAACATTGCTCAGTATCTATATTTTTGTGGCTATGATGCATCACATTCAGATACTAGATTATTTGTTAAAAAATAAGGAGACTTGCATTGGTTGTTCTTTTGTACGTGGGTGATATGATAATAACAGGAAACAATGAAGATAAAGTTGCTAGGCTTCAAGATGAGCTTTCCATAATATTTGACATCAAAAAGTTGGGAGAGCTACATTATTTTCTTGGCTTAGAGATGACAAACATGAACAAAGGGATCTTTGTCACTCAAGAAGGATATGCCAAAAAACTTGTTGACAGGTTTGGATTGAAGCAAAGCAAAAATGTTCTATTCCTCTTGAGATAAGTACAAGGTTAAGGCGGGACAAATGCTCACTTCTTGCAGATCCCAAGCCTTTTCGAGCTCTTATTAGAAGTCTACTGTATTTGACTATTACAAGGCCAAGCATTGCCTTCTCGGTGGGATATGTCAGCAAATTTATGCAAAGGCCAAGAAAGCCTCACTTAGAAGCTGCAAATAGGATTCTAAAATATATCAACTCAACATCAGATATGAGCTTGTTCTTCCAGAAGAAGAATGATTTGGTGTTAGCTGATTATACAGATGCTGATTTTGGTGGTGATTCGGATGATCGAAGATCTACATCGGGCTATATTTTTCTCTGTGGTGGAACAAGTGTTTCTTGGTGTAGCCAGAAGCAAGACTCAGTTTCCTTTTCAACCACGGATGTAGAGTATAAAGCAGCCGCTCTTACTGCTCAAGAATGTGTATGACTACAAAGACTTACATCTACCTATATCAAAGCCAACTGTGATCTTTGGAGATAATCAAAGTACCATCAAGCTTGCAAACAATCCAGTATTCCATGCAAGAACTAAACACATTGAGGTAGAACATCACTTTATTCGGGAAAAGGTTCTTATGAAGAACATCACTGTACATGTTTTAGAATATTATCTAGAACTATCCTTAGAGAAGTATAAATAGGGGTAGCCTTAGGCATTTGTAACTAAGCCAAAATCAAGAAAGCTCTTATTTCCTAAACAAGTTCTCCTAACTAAATTCTCTCTTCTCCTTTCAAGCTTCTTCTTCTTTAGTTGAATCTTCCTATTTTAGTTAACGATCTTGGGCTGTCAGAATGTCTCCAATAATACGTTTCTTATGCTATTCTTTATTATATTAATGCACACAATTATGTTTACCATCAACTTACCATATAATGTTGTTTTTGTTCAGTTGCTTTATTTCCTGCCTAACATCAACATTACAAGTTATGCTTTAATAGACGAAACAAGGAAATCATGTTACAATATTGGACCCACACTGCACCTTTGTTGATTTTTAGTGGGAAGGCAAGGTAAACTGCCATCAATAATATATTTGTATTATTTTACATTCTTTGCGACTCCAAAGTTCTATTTTGAGTTTTTACTCAATTTCTGTAGAACTATGTCCTATGATATAGACCAAACTTTTTTTTTCCTCCTAACTGATACTTGTTACTCTCTTTTACCACAGAGATACAACTTCAAGTCTGTCCAAGTGAATTTTCTGGATAAAGTCTGTGTAAATGGAGAAATTTTGCCTCCTAATCTTGCAGTTCGTGAACCAGTCCGCCGATATATCAGGAGTCTGTAATTTTCTATGTGTGAGACAAGCAAGTTAATACTACTTAAATTCCTATATCCTTGTAATGTTTACTCTAAACAGAATGTGTGTACTGAGATAACAAGTTAACACTGATGTGTGTGAGAAATAGCAAGTTAATACTGCTTCTTATATAATAGCAAGTTAATACTGATGTGTGCGAGAGATAGCCAGCTAATACTGCTTCCAATACTATAGCAAGTTAATACTTGTGATGACCCGATAGGTCATCTTATATTTTAGAACCTAATTCTATGCTATGAAGTCTTAAATAACTCATTCTAGCTTTTCTCTATTTGTGTGCGCAGTCCAGGTATTTTTCCAGAAAGCTTTTATGATAAAAACTGAGAAAATATGAAATTTTTGCCTTAAAATCCATTTGAGTTGACTTCGGCCAATGTTTTGGGTAAACGGATCCGGATTCATATTTTGACGGTCTCGTAGGCCCATATCATGATTTGAAACTTGGGCGTATATCCGAAATCGAATTCGGAAGTCCCTAGCCCGAGTTATCGCGCTTTGTTAAAATTTGAAAGTTAAAGGCTTAATGATTTTGAAATGTTTGACCAATGATTGATTTTTTAGATATCGGGTCCGTATTTTGGTTTTGAAACCCGGTATAGGTCCAATACTATATTTATGACTTGTCTGTCAAATTTGGTGAGAAACGGGGTTGGTTTGACGTGATTCAGGCGTCCGGTTGTGAAATTAGAAGTTCATGAGTTTTCTTGAAACTTTCCTTTGATTTGATGCTCAATTCGTAGTTCTAGGTGTTATTTTGACAATTTGATCGTGCGAGCAAGTTCGTATGATATTTTTAGACTTATGTGCATGTTTGGTTTGGAGCCCCGAGGGTTTGGGTGAGCTTCAGATAGGTTACGGAGTGAGTTTTGGACTTAGGAAAGTGATGGTGTGCTTTAGTTGTGGTGCACGCCTCAGACCTCGCAATTGCAAGGTCAGGCTTCGCATTTGCGACCTTTGTCAGGTTCGTATTTGCGAGCTGCTTCCTCGTAATTGTGAAGAGTAGCTGGGCATCACATGGTTCGCATTTGCAACCAATCCTTCGCAATTGCAAAGTGGGGCTGGGGGGACAGTGATCGCATTTGCGATCAAATGGTCGCATTTGTGGAATGGCCACTGTTCGCAATTGCGAACAAATCATCGCAATTGCGATGATAGCAGAAAATGTGGGACTTCGCATTTGCGAAGAAAAGCTTGCATTTGCGGGGTTCCCAATTATGAACCCTAGGTCACAATTGCGACATCTGTGACTCGTCAAGTATGAGTTAGACGGGATTTTCTCTCATTCTCCAAATTTTCAAAACAAGAAAAACCTAGAGGCGATTTTTTCAAGAACCTTTCTTACCCAATTCATTGGTAAGTGATTCTAACCTATGTTTTTTCAATCTTTCATTACATTTCATAAGATTTCAACCTAAAATCTAGTATTTCATGGTGAAAATTGGGGGTTTGGGTAGAATTAGGGATTTTAATAAAATTAGAATTTAGACCTCAAATTGAGGTCAGATTTCAAATAAATTACACAACCGGGCTCGGGGGTGAATGGGTAATCGGGTTTTGGTCTGAATTTCGGGTTTGGACCAAGCGGACCCGGGAGTTGACTTTTGTTGACTTTTTCAATAATGACCTAAATTGAATTCTTTGCAATCGTGGGTAGTTCCTAAGGCTTAATTTGAGTCATTTGGTTGGTAATTTTCGTTTGGTTGGTAATTTGCTAGATTCGATTGGTTCGGAGGCTGGTTTGAAAGGCAAAGCTGTGATTGAGCTTTGAGTGGACCTTCGGAGCGAGGTAAGTATCGTGGTTAACCTTGACTTGAGGGATTAGGACTTATTTGTCTATTTGCTGCATGGTTAGATGTTGGGTACAATGTATATGTGAGGTGACGAGTACTTATGTATTGTTGTCGGGTTAAAGCATACGGGTGGGACTTGTTCCTTGTAATTATTGCTTACTTTGATCATGTTATCCATGCTTAGACTAGTTATTTGTTAAATTGATCGTTCTTATCGTGTTTATGGGCTTTTGTGATAATTGAGTATTGATTTCAAGTTGAGATTGGTATGGTGGAACCGTTGTTGAAGTAAAGCTAGTACTTGTTGATCCTATCTCCCTGTTATTACTTGTTCATTGTTATGTGGTAAGGGAGAGTGTTAATGCGCGAAGGGTGATGCCGTGCCGTATGTGAGTGCTAATGCACGAAGGGTGATGCCGTGCCATATTGTGAGTGTTAATGCACGAAGGGTGATGTCGTGCCATATTGTGAGTATTAATGCACGGAGGGTGATGCTGTGCCATGTTATGAGAGTTAATGCACGAAGGGTGATGCCGTGCCATATTGTGAGTGTTAATGCACGAAGGGTGATGTCGTGCCATATTGTGAGTATTAATGCACGGAGGGTGATGCTGTGCCATGTTATGAGAGTTAATGCACGAAGGGTGATGCCGTGCCATATTGTGAGAGTAAAAGCACGAAGGGTGATGTCGTGCAATTTTCTTCATAGTGTTTAGTTGTTTTCACTGGTTAAAAGCATGTTGACTGTTTTGGTTATCATTTTCGCTGTATCTCTTATATCTTGTGCCCCTTTAGCATGTCCCCCTCCCAATAATACGTGTTTAGATTTATTTATTGTTATCTTGTACATATACTGTTATCTGCACATATTTATTATGTGGGTGTCTTATCATAGCCTCGTCACTACTTTATCGAGGTTAGGCTCGACACTTACGAGTACATAGGGTCGGTTGTACTCATATTATACTTTGCATGTTTTGTACAGAATTTGGTACCGGCCCTAGCTATTTGTGAGGCGTAGCAGCTTGGATTTGCTCATTGGAGACTCGAGGTAGATCTGCTGGCATCCGCAGATCTTGGAGTCCCCTTCTATTTTTCCTATTTTACTGTTTCTTTTCGTTCAAAACAGTTGTATTTCTTTCAGACTCTGTTTGTAGAAAATCTTAGAAGCTCGTGAGTTATGACTCTAGATCCGGATTGTAGTAGATATTATGGGCATATATGTTATTCCGCACTCAGTTTGTTTCATTTTGGCTTAATTGACTTTATTTGTTGAAACTGAATAACAATTGACTTAACGGTTCTCTAACGTTGGCTTGCCTAGCAAGTGAAATATTAGGCGCCATCACGGTCCCAAAGGTGGGAATTCTGGGTCGTGACTAGTTGGTATTAGAGCACTAGGTTGCCTAGGTTTCACAATTCACGAGCAGGTAGAGTAGAGTCTGGAGGATCGGTACGGAGACGTCTGTACTTATCTTCCAGAGGCTATGAAGTTTAGGAACAAATTTCACTTCTATTCTTCTCTATCGTGGGATTTTTGTTCTCTCATTGCTAATTGAACCCTTCTACTCTTATTCTCTCGCAGATGGTGAGAACACGTACTGCATCTTCAGCTGAGCAGCAACCAGAGCCCCCTGTGGTAGCTCCTACGAGGGGCAGAGGTCGAGCTCAAGGTCGTGCCAGAGGCCGAGGCAGGGGCAGAGCTCAGCCCAGAGCTCGAGCAGCAGCACTAGCAGTGGAGCCTCAGGTGGAGTTTGATGAGGAGGTTCCAGCCTAGACTGTGCCTGTTGGACCTGCTTAGGTCCCGGAGGGGTTCATCGCCACCCTAGTGCTTCAGGATGCTTTGGTCCATTTGGTGGGCCTTATGGAGAGTGTATCCCAGACTGGTACATTTCCCATGGCACTAGCTGTCTCTTAGGATAAAGGAGGAGTACAGACTACTGCTACTCACACTCCGGAGCAGATGGCTCCCCAGTATCAGACTCCAGCAGCTCAGCCAGTCAGAGTAGTTCAGCCGATTGTTGTGGCACATGCCGGTGATGGGCCAGCTATGTCTTCTGAGGGCTTATTGAGATTGGTCAAGTTCACCAAGCTCTTTCTAGTTCACTTCAGTGGTGCACCTTCTGAGGACCCATAGGATTATCTTGACCGCTGCCATGAGGTTCTGCGGAACATGGGGATAGTTGAGACCAATGGGGTCGATTTTACTATGTTTCAGATGATAGGTTCCGCCAAGAGATGGTGGAAGGATTTTGTATCGACCAGACCAGATGGGTCGCTTGCTCTTACTTGGGACCAGCTCTCTCAGATATTTCTTGAGAAGTTCCTTCCTATCACAGTGAGAGAGGATTATCGCAGGCAGTTCGAGTGTCTCCAGTAGGGCAGTATGTCCATCATTCAGTATGAGACTCGTTTTGTGGATCTGGCCCGTCATGCTATTCTTCTGCTTCCTACCGAGAGAGAGGGGGTGAGGAGGTTTATTGAGGGACTTGCTCAGCCTATCAATTTACAGATGGCCAAGGAGACCGGGAGTGGGATTTCTTTTTAGACGACTGCCAATGTTGCCAGGCGAGTCAAGATAGTTCTTGCACAGGGGGGAGGTCAGGGGTTTGACAAGATGCCTCGTCATTCCGGTGGGTTTAGCGGTGCCTCGTCTGGAGGTAGGGGTACTTTTGGTAGAGTCCATCCATCTAGGCCATTTCATTCAGCACTCCAGGCATCCCACAGTGCTTCAGGTGGCCGTGGCCCTCATATGCCTTATTCCGACCAGCTAGTCTACAGTGCACCACTAGCTTCTATTAGTGCACCTCCGCTCCAAAGTTTTCAAGGTGGTTACTCAGGTCGACAGGGTGAGTTCCAGGGTCAGTAGTCACAGCAGCCGAGGTCTTGTTATACTTGTGGTGATCCGAGGCACATTGCTAGATTTTTCCCTCATGCATCGAGAAACTCACAGCATCAGGGTTCTCGTGTCATGGTTTCGGCACCGGGTGCTTCACCGCCTGCTCAGCCAGCTAGAGGTAGGGGTCAGGCCATTAGAGGTGGAGGTCAAGCTGCTAGAGGTGGAGGCCAGCCAGCTAGGGCCCGTCCTAGAGATGTAGTTCAGCGTGATGGCCCCCAACCCCAATGCTATGCTTTTCCAGCCAGGCCTGAGGTTGAGTCATTTGACGTTGCTATCAC